AATGTTTAATTGAACAACTAATAATTATTAGTATGCTACCCTCGTGGTATTTATAAAAACTTAAATATGTAACGACGTAAAATAATAATAAATTATAATGAAAGTGATGCGGATAGCTACCAAATCGGCATTTATTTATTACTATTTATGTAGTTTTTAAATAATTTCCTACAGTAAAATTCATCAAATATTATATGAATATAACGAGTGAAACATAATATTATTCTTAATTGTAATTATTTTCGACAAATTAATTTAGGTGTTGCATTACAAATAATTATTGCAATACATTCCAAACAATGTAAATTAATTGTCGTTTATAACGAACTAACGTTTTCTTATATGGGATTAGAGGGAGTTAAAAAATACGTACTATTTTAACTGGATGCGTCTTGAACAAATCGATAATTATAAATAATTATTATTATGTACTTTATAGAGACACTGTTTTTATTTTTTACTGGACATTTTATTGCTTCGTATTTCTGGTACCGGTGGTGATTAGATTATAAAAAAATCTCTCTTTGTATTTTGCATTTAAAATTAGATCACTATATTTTTATCAAATCAATAAAGAAAAACCTATAATTGTTTATGTTCTTAAGTTGGCTTTTTCCACATTTACATTTTAAAATAAAATAGTATTAATACCTTTATATTGTATGCACTTAATTACCCGCATAGTTTATTAGTTTAATACAGTGACTCCCAATGTGGGCTTTTTTTAATTTTGAGGGGGGCTTTTTACTTAAGAGGGCGCTAAGAAGGGCGATTCTACTGTGACTTTCATTATTAAAAATAATTCTCTATTATTAAAAACAATTATATTATTATTAAAACTATATTAGCAAATTCATAAATTATTGCAATGAAATTTAGATCTGCGTATAATAGAAAATAATTACATGATTAAATATTTTATACACACTACAACAGCTAAATTCAGCGAAATAACAACGAGAGGTCCTATTTTCATACGGACATTTCCGACAATATTGTAAACCTGCATCTATTACATGAAGCTACATAAGTTAGTGTGCATATACGTTAGTTATACTTATTCGTAATTATAATAAAATGTCCGAGCTCAAAATGTGAAGAAAATATTTATTTTTCACTTTAATTAAATGGCCGATTATAAAAACTAAATTATAATTTTTTTTTGTAATTTATCGGGGAGGGGACGGTAAGAATTTTTTGAAAAACTAAAAGAGGCATTGAGTAAAAAGAGGTCTGGAAACATTAGTTTAATATAATTACATCGAACATGGCAATCTAATTGGCATAGGATGCTCAAAAATGAGCTGCACAATTTGGTGGAACTAGCACCAATGGCGAGAAGATTCATTATGGGTCAAAAAATACAACATAAGGTTATATATGATGAGGAAAGAAAACACAAAACCGGTTAAGAAATACAGAACCTGAGACCTCAAAGAACAAGACCCAGTAAAAGTTGGATTGACGACCAAAAAAAGATTTTAAAAAGTTTATAAATCAAAAACTAGAGAGACGTAGTTCAAGACAGTGGTATAGTTATTATATTCTATATAACAATTACAGGTTAAGCCCTAAAAATACAAGTATGATAAAAGAAAGTACACTAAAAACAAAAAAAGAGATTTACAAGTTAGCAACAATTATTAAATGAAGAGTTGGTAGCGCGCATAAGGCAAGAAATAGGAGAAATAATTAGGGGCTAAAACTCTTAGAGAAAAATATGCAAATAGAAAAAGAAGAAGAATAAAAAATAAAACATCTGGGGAAAAATGCTTACGGTTTATGTGTAGATTTCTCCGATTTCAATTTGGTAATTATTCGCTAATTTTGTCTGAAAACATATTGTAATGGAAGTACGTCATAACAAGATATTCACTATATAATATTATTCGGGGATTTTAAACAAATGACATTGTTGTGACTCATAAAAAATGTCCAAATACGGTAATGTATTACATCTCAATCGAACAATAAACATCCGTTAGAAAAAATGTTTTATAACAAATATTTATTACTAATAATATTGTATGGATTTTAAACATGGCTATACTGAGGAAAACCGATGGAAATAAATGGTTGGTACTTGAAAGTAAATTATAATGACCTTTGAGACCAGTAAAGGAAATGTAACCGAAGATAGGAGACTTCTGTGAAAAATATTTTAGAGATTATCAAAAGAAGGTGAGGTGAGATGACATGATAAAAAAAAAGGTTGCGAAGACTGCGGACCAAATCGGACGAGTTTGACGATGGATTGCGCAACGGGATAAATTCAAATAATACAAATAACAATAAGAAAAATAAAAAGTTTTATCCATTGAGTCGGTACTGCATTTGTATTTGTAAAGTGGTATTCAAATCTGTTCATTTCATAGAAACGTAAAAATTATAAAATTATTAAAATATTTAAAATACAGTTGGACAAAAAAAAAAATAAAAAAAAAAAAATCGAAAAAACTAAGTTTTACATTATTTATCGTCTGTTTGAATATTGTCACCTGCAATCATCATCGGTATTTTCATAAATAATTCATCGATTTAAGTATAGGTAGGTACATCACTCGAAATCGATATTTATACAATTATAATATTATATAGACACGACATTCAAAGTAAACAATAAATATTATATATATTTAATATTTTATATATATATATATATATATATATAGGTCAAAGAATTCGTATAATTAGAAAACACGATCACTATACTCTTATATTTTATTAATTTTTTATATTATAAGCATTTTTTTTTTGTCTTCAAACCTTATCGTGTGACAACTTGTATACACGCACATCAAAATTATTATGAACGTGACATGGCACTTGGTACTAAATGAATGAACGAACGACTAAAAAATAGTAACGTTTGTATCACAACAATAATAGTATTATAAATGTATCATATTCAACTAATATCATTGTATATTATTATAATGCTATACATACGCCGTTCGAGTATGTAGGTATATTAAGAGATTCTTGTATTTTTAAAAGACAGTTTATAACGGAACGCGACGTCGGATCGAATTTCGCACGCTAATACGACTTTTTATTGTTCCGTCGCGTGTTTGGGCAGTAATTTTATTATTATTATTATTTTTTTAAGAAATGCCATTCATATATTTTCGTTCCGTGCACAGTAATGATGCACTTTTTAACTAGGTAAAAAAAAAAAAACACGCAAATATAATCATCCGGATTATTAAAACGTTTAATATTATAATTATTAATTTTTTTTTTTTTTTGTAATAGCTAATTATTATTATAATACCTACACGTTTTGTTCGTACCTACACAAAGTGTTTAAATACAACAAACTCGTAAATAACTACGGCACACGCGGATTGTATTTTAGACGACTATATATATATATATATTTTTTTTTTTAAATTTCCCTTATAAAAAAATCAAACAAATCAGCAAACGCAATTTCGCAAGTCATGACTTACGTTTTCCATACCTACCACGTTCATGGAAGAAAAGCGGGTCTGACACTTTGGCGTTCGTTACGTCATTGCGTCGTTTTTATTGTGTTCACCACGGTTACGCTACATTTCATATTATCAATAACTATTATCAAAAAGCCTGGGTAATAATTTATTTCAATTGACTTATGTAGTATCTCGTACAGAAAGGTCGTAGTCTGTAAGGATTTGTTGATTTACCATGGCGACCAAATATAAAATTCACTATAATTCGTCATCACAGGGACAGTATAAAAACGGAGAGGGGGGCTATTTGAAAATGCATATAATGTACTAATTTATGAGGATCATGAGAATGTTAAAATAAACTAAGAGTATATTGGGACGTCTCTATCAATATAAATTAATGTAATATGAATATTAAGCAATCTAGTTGCTGTAAACTAGACCGATAATCCAATTGAAAACTACAAAATCGGTTATTATTTTGAATTAATTTCATCGATTATAAAAACTAAGACATTATAATATTATTAAAAAACATATCTATCCTAGTCCGTGGTATGTTTTGTACATCGATAGTATATCGAACGATCTGAATATATTGTTGATAACAAAGTTGTTAACAACACAAAGTGAATAAAAAGTATGTTTGATTAATCCTGTTTTGAAATCCCGAGGTTTCCATAAAAATTTAAACTTAAATCGCTTCAACTCAGGTACGATATATTTTTGTACCTTACGTAACATAAACATTCGAAATAGTATAATTTCAAGGGAATTTATTCAAGGATAGTTTAATACATATTTTATAACTGAGTAGATATTCAGTATGCAAACCGAGTAAGAATTTTACGACGTACATTGTGGGTATTTTTATTGAGTTATACATCTATAATCAAGATGATTATATTTAATCGAGTTTTTCGATACGCGTTATCTATACAAAACCCTTAAAATTATCTTAACATGTAACATTTTTTTACAATAGCGTTATGTGCATTTCAAATTTCAATTTTTGTTTAAAGAATTTCTTTGCTGAATATTAACAAAACTATACTAAGATAGTTAATAAGCTCATTAATATAACACTCAAGATTACAATTTATCAGTAGGTACTGAAATATAGTTATTTTTGTGGTGAAATTAACTAGAAAGCTTAGTTAAAAATTAAAATTAAATTTAGACAAGGAAATATTAATTTGCGGGTTACAATAGTTCGCTATAATGTGCATTTAACTCTATATTATTACTGACCATTTCGAAAATAACATCAAGTTTAAAAAAAAATTAGAGTTATATCAATGAGTTTATCATCCAACAAATTATAATATATGATATAAAATGTATTGGTACTTACGGTAACTGAACGAATCGGTAGGTCCCAGGCGGTAGGCAAGCAATAACACGAGAACTATGGTCCAATGCACAGTATACCCCCGTAGACCGGTCCGGGCGATCATTTTTTTTTTTTGTGTTTGTTTTTTCGAAAAACAAAAATATCCGTTTTATCGTTGCACCGTTAGCAATGGATATTGGAAAACGTATCCGTCACGTCTTCTGGGCACGTATCGCGAAGTAGAAAAGGCTCCGATCGGTGACCCTTTTAACATGATGGCTCGTGCGAGGTTTTTGTGTATCTAAAAGAGAGAGAAAGAGAGAAAAAAACAATTATTACCAATCGTCGAATGTTTCGTCACCGCATAGTCCTATTGTTGCCAGATTTGTGTGACGGGCAATAATAATTGCGTATAGTATTAAATCCCTTCGTTTTGCTTTCGATATCCCTATACACAAAGTAATAAAACTGATCTAGAAATAAATCGCAAATTTCACGAAATTTACTGTATACATACGAGGTGTTTTTGTTTGTATTTTTTTATCACGATCCAGTAATTATATACCAAGATTTTGAATAAAATCTATTTTACTTGTTTTGGTCACGTCAGAATTGTTTCAATGTATTATATTATATACCTATTTAAAATATGTTCTGACTTTACCTTTATTCCAAACTGACATATATCTTTTATTAGTTACACAGTTTACAAATTTAAACCGCAGGAATAGTGATGATAGATGATCATCTAAAAATTAATATGAAATTTATATACCTGAATTATTAGACAAATATTCTCTGTTAAAATTCGGATTGAAAGTGGGGGTAGGGAGTTATTACTTTTTGAATTATTAAAAGTTTATATTAATTATTTTTTAGTGTACTGATTGAAGGTAACATTTTACCCTTAGTTAGTTTACCTTCCACGATAGTTGCTGGGTGCTTATAATATACTGCGTATACTAATTATGGATGTGTATGGAAAATTGATAAAAAAATGAACATTGTAAATACACGAAAAGATTCCCGTTTATCTTAAAACTGAATCAATATCACCATGACTACTGATGTCACGATGATCACGACGGCAGACGGTCAAAGCAGGTTATGACAATACAAAATACTGTTCAGGTAAATCCGATGATATTGTATTTACGCATTACCTACCCTCTTTTAATATAATATATATATATATATATATATATAAATGTATAGATACTGTTATAGGTCTATATTATATTATAAGGAATCTTTTCATTCGAGTCGTGTCATTCTCTTTGGTTACAGCAGCAGCGGCGACTGCATTCTACTACAATACGCGGAGTCTTTGAAACAGCATCGAAAGGTCGTCGAGCGTGTACCATCGTTGTAGGTAACAAAAGAACCTGGCGAGAAAAGAGGCTTTTGTTACTACTGTACATCAAGAAAATATTTTATACGAGAGACGCCGTTGTATTTAAGAAGCATATCGAATAATATGTACGGTTTACTGACAGTATGCGTAACTTTTACACGTAAGAATATTATCTTCACGTTTTAAACTTGTTAAATACAAAATTCGCGGAGAAAAATACAGAATGTACGCCAAAACGCGTAAATTCAAATAAAAATAACTGGGTAAGTTATAAGAGGAGATCAGACATGTTTTTTTAACCGGAAACATAGCAAAAATACAGTGTTCGGAGTCCCAACATCACTCTGGTTCTAATAAACTTAAAATAACAATTGTTTCACAAAACTAAAGGCAACAACATTTTATATTTTATATCCATTTTGGAATTTTTAAATTATAATAAATATTTTTTCTTTTTCAAAGAGCACACAAAAATAATAAATTTTATGTTGCTCAAACGAATCACGAATGTATTTCAACTATGATAATCTTCATATTCCAAAACTTCTTTTCTCATTATTTTCTCTAGAAGTATAAGGTACAGTATTCCATATTTTTAGTTCTTATTGTGTGATCCAGGTTATATTAGTTTCCGAGATTATGTATTTTTCACTTTATCAGTAATTTTTTTTCCTTTCGTATCCATTGAACTCTGAAGTACGCTGTAATTGGATATGTGGTATATTTAGAATTCAACGAAATTAGCTTAACGTGATATAACTAAAAATTAGTTTGTTTTTAATTGAACTATATCTACTATAAACAAACTAGGTTAGGTCAGTAAACAAGTTAAATGTTTATCATTGTGTGTCAGCTTATAACGGCACTGGTAAATAGTTAAAATCAATTTAACTTTAAACTTTTTTACTTAAAATGCCCAGCTGTCTTGAATAGTAATAAACAATAAACAAACTCAGAATCGTAATTTGTCAACAAAGATTTATCGTTGCGTACAGATATAAATTAAATAACTTTATGTGCACTACCTTCCAAACTTTCAATCTACAACAGTGACACACCCAACAGCAGTATCAATGTCTAATGCCTATAAAGAACTAAAAATCGATAGAATGGTTTGAAAATTTGACCACGTTTTTAAAAATCCATTTTTATTATTATGTGAACATTTTAGGTTTCTGCGATTATTTTTTACCAAATTATAACGAAAAAAACAAATTAGAAAATAATAAAATTGTTTTTACCCCAACAATTCACGTTTTTCCTCAATTTCCCCCTGAATATTAAGAAAACAACAAGAAAAACAAAACAGAATGACTTACTTATCCATGAACTAGACAACATTTGGTCTGAGAAAATATGATAATATTAAAATTCTAAATAAGATTGTTGGTAGAAAAATGAAATCAGTAAATTAAAATCTACTCGGATAATAACCCCCATAGTGCACTGACTAAATCCCTAATTTAACAAAACATATCTCTCGTCATTTTTTAATTGAATCAAGATTTCTAGAATAAAAGTTCGTGGTGGACAGAAAAATGAAAAATGATCATTCACATTGAAAGTCAATAGAAACGACTTATTAATATTATCAAATCTTCCAATATTTTATTCATAATACATAAATCAAATGAATTTCGAAAATGATATAATACCGAATGGTTTGTTTTGCTATTAAAGTTGTTCTAAGGCATAGGGTTTTTGTTATTATTTTTTTTTTAAATATCTTTTTTGGGTAAACACATACATAAATAAATATATATTATACTTATGCGTATGCATATAAATAATCAAAATAAATGTAAAAAGGAAGATACGTAGGTATACGCGTATACGGTATTCCCCGAAGACGACGTTTTCCTTCGTATTTTAATCAAAACCCGAGTAAAACACGATGTTATATTATAAAGCATTCTCTCCCCTTCTCCACGGCCCCATCCAACTCATTGTGTGCAACTGATATATTTTTAACAATTCCATTTCTTCTAACACCAGGCCAACGAATAAGTATAGCTACCTTCTTATACGTATAAACAGGAATCGAGGAGATTTTACGGGTGTACTTTGACATTATGCGGCGATTGCATTGAAGAAAACCTACGTTATTTATGTAAACATATCTGTGCCTATAAATATACATAGAAAAAAGGCGGAGAACCGATGAATTGAGTTTTCATGTATAATTTTATTATATTAAAAAGAAAATGTAGTCACTTGGTCTATAGATTCGCGTTTAAAATTGAAATTCAGGTTTATTCAATTTATGTATTACTTAGCGTAGGTGTGTTCAAATACTGCAGTTTTTTTTTTGTTTCAAAATTAATAACGACGAACGCTATTATGTATCCATTTTTTTTCGAGTTTTATTTTTTATGCTCAAGAAAAATGAATTGTCAGTGTACTTTGATACGTTTTTGAATACGTCATTATACTTTTATTCCAGTCATATTATAATTTCAGACATTAGCATACCTATAAAAGAAAATAAATAGCATAGGTACCTATACAATTATATTGAAGTAGATTATTATAGTTTAAGAAAAAATAAAATGTTAGTACTTAAGTACTTAATTTCTAAGCAACCATTATATAAGTATATGTACTCGATGCAAACATAATTATTATATTGCGTATAATAATAATAAAAAAAAATAATGAGTTTAATTTTTTTAATTTTCACTAACCGCATAAAAAATATAAGCGGAATACATTTCGTTTAATGCCTTGTAAAGAAAAATATTCATTTTATGGGTATTATATTTTGTATAGTGAAGTTTTATATATTTTACCTATAAATGTTTAATTTATATTATAAACTCAATAATAATATAAAAAATACCTAATATTTTACATTGATCCATACAATTATTACTAATAAACAAAGATTCGACAAATTTTAATGTATATTTCGAGCGTAAAAATATCTTAAAATCTTAAATTGATTAATAGTTCATGTTGAAACGTATTTATTTTCACTAAGAGAAAAAAAAAAATATAATTAATAATGAGTAGTATGTACATTCGACATAAACGAACATAATATACACTGGAGTATTTATTGCCGTGTCCCTAATGACAAATTTACCGTTTTAACGCATTTGTTAAGTATGTATTAATATTTTAAATTATTATTGTATGTTGAAAACGCCGGTTTATTTTTACGATAAAAAATGAAAGACATAAAAGCGGGATATATATATTATTCATTGTAATAGGTTTTAGTGATGGCACGTTGACAATGTTTTCGAGGAGCAACAGCTCCATCAAAATGTATAGGTGCGTGAATGGATAACAAAAGACAGGTATAATTAATATCAATAGCGATGCAATAATAACAATTCAATAATAATTAACTAACATAAATTAGAAGTATAACGAACAAATTAATTTCAATATGTCATAATACTAATATATGTATGTTATAATATAGGCACGGAATTCTGGATGTTTCAGTAGGTGTATGCGAATAGAATATTAGTAGAGCAAGTGTGTAAAAATCCTAGTCTTGGATTAGTAAACATTATATTCCACACTGATCAGAGACATGTTCAGGTTTTGGTGCTTCTCTCCACCCCTCCCCATAAATATTAGTTTTTAACAATTAATTGATTTACCTATTTGTAGAAATTGTATTAAATCTTAAAATTACTTAAATCAACCAGAATTAATAGGCGAACAAATAACCAATTTATATTTTAGGATTTTATGCATTATATAATTTATTATATTCAAGGACTTTGTTCATTTTTAAGACACTTTCAACTCGACGAATCGAGAATTACTAAATAATTATTCAAGATTTATAAAAAAATATTAGTAGACGAGCTGATTGCTTTATGACTGCCCTCGTAATGGCAAATGCAATAACTACCGAATTGTCAAAATGAGTATATAATACAGTATTGTTAACTATCGTATTCTGCGTCTTTTCAACTAAACGGTAAAAATGTGGTCTGTTTATTGTTTAAGTAGTACTTAAAAAATCGATTTTAAATTATCATAACTAAACGTTTTTTGTTCAAACATTACTACCTAGACTAACTTACTAAACTGACTAATAAAAAACGCAACAGTTGATATTATTTACTGTGTTTATTACTGGTAGTGACATTTATACTGAATATATATCTAGTTTATCGGAAACTAAGTGCAGTTAGTGTCATTTTATAAACTAACTTCAGTATCTGTTTTGTGTATGTTGTGTATACTGTAGAGTTAAGTGACATTTTTCGTATACAGTCGATTCCGCTTAATATAGAATTACAATTCTAATGTATAACGACACTCGTTTCGGTTGAAATGAGTAATCGTTTAATGTGAACAAATGTAACTGGACTCAACACGCTCACATTAAGCGGGATTCACTGTAAATAGATTATATAGTTTATGTATAAGATAAAAATGTATTATACGATTAAAAATCATTTTTAGATTTCAAATAATTATTTTATTGAGAAATAAGCTATTTTTAAGGATTTATGTGTGTTTTCACATAAAACTTAATACTTGTTTATTTTATTATTAGATGTATGAGAAAAAAGACGTCCTATGATAATGGGGACGGGTGCTGCTACTGTTCTAGATAATTTAATGTATACGAGAAAGCAACAATAAACCATTGCTTATGAAAAAACAATTCTGAGAGGAGTTCAGTTGTGAGTAATGCTATATATATATATATGTGTATGTCATTTTATAGTAAAATAATTAAATAGGCTTTATATATTTTCTTTAATAATATTTGTTTAATGTTGTACTGATTTCTCCAGTATTCCTACGTTTTTCCCGGTTTTCCCATGTTTTAACCTGGGTTTTCACATTTGCTGTGAAAACTCTTATTTAACCTCTCGAGGAAAATCGATAAGTGACCACTTTAAAGTATATCGCTAGTGAAATTTTCTTTTAAAAACATTGCTATCATAAAAAGTTAAAGCGAAATTGCTGGTAGAAAAGTTGTGCACAGAAAAAAAGAAGGCCGTAATATATTTTAACTAATACTTATATTTCTTATAGTTGCCCGTTTTTTTTCGGTTTTCCAAATTTGATGAGATAACTCCTAAGAAAATCGAAACATGACCTCTTTAAAGTACCTTGATAATGAAATTTATTTTTAGAAATATTGTTATAATTAAAAGTTGGAGCAAAATTATTGGTTGGAAAGTTGGCACAAGAAAAATAAAGTAATATTTTAGTAATATATTTCGTAAATTTTCCCGTTTTTTTTCTGTTCGGTTTTTCAAATTTAATGAGAAATATTGAGAAAATCTATAAATGATCTGCTTACCTCTCCACGCCAGTTTACTTTCAGAAAAGGCGCTACATTTAGAAATCCGAGTCTTCTGGTAGAAAAGTAACGCACAGATAAAAATAATAAAATAACAAACATCTTTGTAAAACTAAAAAACTTCGAAAACTTGACTCAAATTCTAAAATTACTTTTGGTAATTACTTCACTCACCACCATACGAAAGCAGTGTATTTCTGTACCTACCCGTCATGTTAAAGATAAAAAAAATTTTTATTAGCAATTTTTCTTTTTAAAACATATTTTAAATTATAAAAAATACGAAATATTTATACAAATATTCTGACCGATTTATTATTATTATAAATTAGCTGTCCCGTCCGACGTTGTCTGTGCTAAATAAATGTCTAATAATGAGGTTTTTCTCTGGATTCCCTTTTTCAATCTCTGTAATTACCACTACACAACCGTTGTTGCACTTAAATTTTAAAAACTGTGTCTTATTTTTAAACTTCCATGAATGTTCACTTAGTAATTAAAAACATTTATAAATTATAATTTTTTATCTAGCCCAAATTATTGCTGATTAGATCTACTACTTCTACTGGTCAGATCAAAAGTTTTAAAAGCTGTACAGCTTCATGGACAACACGAATCATTTTGCCAAAAAACCGCACGTAAATAGGTACTGTAGATTCGGAGATAACCCGTTACGAAAAAAAATAAAAAAAATATAAACTAAATTTCTGACTTTTATTTTCTATTTAAATTTTCTTTTATTCAAATTTTATTCGGAAAATTACGAACACGACGAAAAAAAAATCAGCCAAATTGGTTAAGCCATTCAACGTGATGATTTCTCATACATGCGGCAGTTGATTTTTATTTATACGGTTAGATTACTAATCAATCTTTAAAACAACTGGTTTAAAAACGATACGAGTACAACGTACATCCCATTAAGGTAATTTTCAACGTTAAGAAAATCTTAACGACGGCGTAACGAGATACAAAATTACAAAAAAAAATACCTTTAAATAAATTAACATGAAAATCACTGCAACTTTACAATATTAAAGTGCACTGTATTAAAATTACAATTTTTTATCGTTGGAATGTAATACCTATTTTATTATACGTGTAACTTTCAAATTTTGTTTAAAAATATGTAGTATTGAGGACGTGAGATTATTCTGTTCAATGACGAATGGTTCAATTCAATCGCTCAATTTGTGTACGTACATCTCCATCAAAGGCGTTGCCCGGAAGTTGTTTCTCAGATGTACTTAATGGTTGACGTATATACCTACACGGGTGATTTATTGAGTATTGGTCTACATACATATAGGTACCAGCTACAACATACGTATATAAGGTTAATTTGTATTTAATTCTTTTTTTTTTTTTTTTTCGGAAATACCATTTGCCGACACCAAAATGCCAACGCCATCAATAAAACGCTTAACGAATTATCGCTCTGTATACTATATGTCGCGCTCTGGTCAAACCTCAATCACACATAAAAATATTGGAATTGATTTTACTTATGTTAAGGTGTTGAATACATACAAATTAAATTAAGATTCGTACGTGGTTTAAATAATGGAAACGGATAGTTGAATTAAATAATATTGTTTAACAACACCCATGTTTTAAATAACTAAAAATTAAAACCTTTTCAAGAGTAGATTATATTTAAATCAACTTTAGGTAAGTATTCAGTTTTAGTAATTTTGATGTTAATTTTACTTAAATTGAGGAGTTCAATGCACACATCTTGGTTTGCGTTTGGTTGTTTCTAATAAATATAAAAGTGTTAAAATAACGTTTAAACAACTAATTTAAACAATTGATTCTATTGATGATAAATTTGACAGTCGATATGATTGTTAAATCAACCACACCATTTAGTCTTGAGTTGATATTAATAATCTAATTTTAGATTTTACCACAGGAAAATTATTTTTTCTTAGTATAATGTTTATAATCAGTTATCGATGTTTACGTTGTTTGATGAATTTTGTAATTTTATTTATTTTGATATCATATCATCTATTCATTCTTGCTCTCCGACCGATGTGCATCTATATTCTATACCAACACCAAAATTGTATATATTTTATATATTGTATACATTACGAAAAATTGTTGATACATGCTGTGCAAGAACAATTTAACATTTATTGGACCAAATAGTGGCTTAATATAATAGACTTTATTTATTATTATCTAAAAGTAATCTCAAACCTAAATTTCACATATTAACCCATTATGGGGGACTTTTAATTAAAAATGCACCTTTAAAATTATTTAATATTGATTCTTTCGATTAGATTTGAAGCACATAACATACGAACAAACATACTATCAAACAAATATTGTATTTTACATATTAGATATGATAAAATAAATAATATTATGCAACAGTTAAATATCCATTTAATTCTATAACAAAGTAGGTAGTAGTCGATAGGGATCAGGCGTTAGGTAGGATTCCTTAGGTAGGCGAATTCGATCCCCGCCGCGAGTGATTAGACATTTTATGGAACATCGTACCTTTTATTTTACTAAGATTTTTTTTTCAACATTTCATTTAGTAGTTTTAACACCAAACCGTGGTTATTTTAAATACTATTGTTGTTGTATACACCCATTATAACAGTGAGAGTATACATCAAACATTTACTAAACATTCAATGTTTTAACAATATATTGTAATTAAACTAACTATAATTTTGTTTTAAGGGAAAAACAATATGCAAATGTGTATTAGATTAACACTTTGGTGTATTAAAACAACTGCACTTTTTTATGTGTAATGAGGTGAGATGATTATTCTCGAAAAGTATTAACATTTTTGTGATTTTTCGATTTTTATTTTTTGACAATTTAAAATAACTATCAGATATAAAATGTTTCGTTATTTTCTGTCGCATTTATTTTCGGGAGTAAAACCACTACACATTTTTACTTTCGAGTTACAACATATACTAATAATCTCATAAATAAAATAAATGAAGTTTAAATATATTCTGGTGCTAAAATTTTTTTCCCGATGACGAGATATTTCATTTTTAAGTTTAGGTAGGGGGTAGGTGGAACACTATACGTCGCCGTATAAATAATGCGCCACTACTAGTTGCCGATAGACGTATCGAGAAATCATGATTTTCTTTTTTTTTTCTCACGACCCAACGATCATCTAGGCAGATTAGTATGTATAGATAGGCATATGTATAACGGGCATATAAGTAGTATAATATAATAATAACTGAATTTTTAATTTCACTCGAAATTTTTGTAGGTAATCGTTGAATAATGAGAAAAAAAAAATAAAAATCACCCTGTATTATTATTATAAACCCTTGTTTATTCGTTTTTCTCTCGCAGACGGCTACACATATTTTTCGAACAAATATTACACGAATATACAAAATTGGTTTTACAATATCATTTATTCAGTAATAATAATTGTGTTCCTCCGTATTTTTTATCCTTTACCCGAAACACGCAACCTGCTGTCAACGTTTTCGACAATTATACCTCAACACCGTCATAATAAGACGGCGTCCGTCCGCGGAAATATTCTTGTAGTTTTTACATTTATATTAGGCCACGTATTGCAACTGAAAATGGAATTCTTTTTGATAAAACATTTCCATCGTGTTTATAATAATTACGCCGGTGTTTGGAAAGAACGTCGTTTACGGACGCACGTTCACGCGTTCACGTCCATAATTAACGAACGATACGCGAACGTCACTCGTTTATTTTTCAAATACAACGTGAACGTGAACAACGTTTATGTTTCCAATGAATTTGAACGATTTTTAAGACACTCGATTTATTTACCATTCAACAAATATGTGTATAAAATATTTAATACGTTGACAATTTTATTCTATACGATAATATGTTCGTATTATCCCATTCTAATTCCTATTATACATGTTATATGATGATAAATGTCATAAAAATTAAACACGTGAAATTTCAGCTGGTCCGGCTCGACGTTGAACAACAATAGCATTGTTATAATTTCCACGAATTCGTAATAAATCGGTATACCTAAAATCTAATCGGCTAATTATAATAAAAATGAATAAAATGTAAACGTAGGCTTTAACGTTTATCATCTGCACCGAGGAATTTAAATTTAATTACTGGGAATTACAAAACGACAGGGACGCGCAGAACACGCACGGAATTTATTTATAGTTGTGATTGTTGTAAAACGTGTACCCTACTGTGCAGGTAAACTATTCATAAAAAAAAAAAAAAAAAAAATTAAACGAACGACCTAATGAACGCATTCATTTTTTCAAAGAACGCGGACGAATTCATCTTTTTAGTGAACGTTCCAAACACTGAATTACGGTACTTTGAATTATGACGTGTTCGTACCTATAATGTAATATAATTATGATGTTTTAATTATATACAATTTATAAAAACCTAGAAGAGGTGAATTTGATTATTGAAAATCGAATTTCGTTTAAATATTCGGCATTACATCAATATACTGTTACGTTAATATGATAACAGTTTATACGTTTTTCGCGACCGCGGGGGAATAATTCAATTGATATTTTTATACATAACATAATGTAACGATATGCACGATGATATCGAAAGGGTTAAAATGGAATAGCGTAATTGTATTATACACCTCGCTGGTTTAGTAATTTTTATACTTAATAAAACATTTTCGATTGGGGTATTTTTTGTTTTCAACTATTATTGCGATATTTAAACATCATCCGCATCCGTATGTAATTATATTTTGCGTCGTGATCATGTCATAACATAATATGATGCGATAAATCAAAATAAGTAATTATGTGTTTAAAAATGCAACGCTGACACACCAGTCAATGAATAACTATAAACATACTAACGATGCAGTTGTGTTAAAATTTAAATTGACAAAAGTTATTCACGCGGATAACGCATTTAAAATCAATTATTTTATTAATTGAATAAGTTAAGTAAAAATTGAATTCGAATTTATATAATTAACTCAATATTTAATTAATATTATAATTAACTCAATATAGAGTTTGGTTAATTATTTTCATACAATTTGTAAAGTTATGTGAAATCATTTTTATACTTCGAGAAGTCATTACTTTTTTTTTGTTTCAAATAATGTTCAATTTTAAATGAAGAGGATTTATTCGGGGAATATTTATTCGTTTAACTCCGTACACGATAGTGAAAGATAAAATTGTTATACTTGTATTTATATTATGATAATGACAAATTCAAATAGTGTAGGTATAGATTGTAAATAAAATTAAAAGGAAATTGACTTGGGGCATTTCGAAACAAATCCATTATTTATTATAACAATTTAACATTGTAACATTGTTAATTGTAAATTTTAGCTTTTAAAGAGCTAACGAGCTTAACGAGTTAAACTCGTTAATTATCAATTTTGTCAAAATATAATAATTCTTATAAAATACATATCGTTTCATACAATTCTCGTCTCTTAATTAACTGTCAACGAAGAAAATTCTATTACTAAAAATCTGAATATCAATTTTATAAAATAATATAAGACTTTTTTTCAGCTTAAAGTGGTTGAAAATGTTCTCTAAATAAAAAAAATAAAACTAAAATATAATCTGAAGCCATGTATGTTTTACTATTTCTATTATGAAACATATTATATTATGTACCTACATAGTGCTGTGGCAGTAGCATGTTATACGTGATTTTTGAAAGGGGAGTTAAAAATACGAGAGCCCCCCTCTGAGGATAAATGTTCACCATTCTCTCGCACTAATATTCAAGCAGTTATTGTTACTATATTTTTGTTTTTGGGAACAATATGTAAATACAAGTTTTAATTTTTGATTGATCTTTTTGACTAAAACCAAACTGTATTTATAATAATAATATGAATTGTATTACTACGAAGCCGTTATATTAGAAAAAATAATATGTTGTCTTATTTATTCGATCTAACATTAAATTGTATATTTAGTCTATATGATTTATATAATGTAAGACCTAAAAAAATAAAATAACGATGGTAAGACCAAATCCAAATATCTATCCCCCCCCCCTTATGTATACATCATTGATTTAGTGTTAGCGAGACGCTTTCTTATTGCAATTTAATACTTTTTTTTTCAATTACAATCGTTTTAAAAACAAAAATCGGACACCAGTAATTATAGGAAACGTCAGATTGAAACGATAGTGTCCTCGGGGCTCAATATACTAAGGCTAAGGTCACACAGAAAAGGACTTGGCGTAAGTGTATCCCCGTAGACCACATTCGCACACACTGATCGTCAAAGTTTTGCGAGAAAACTATCCTATATGTAATGTTGTCGTCATAAATTAACATATTATTAAAACTGTATCCATAGGATTATTGGTCGCCAGTGTACTATAATATGATTACTTTTTCACCATTAACTACGTTATCGTTACGAAATATAACCGGACTGTGATTATAACGCAGTATTGTTATTATTATTATTATATTATAGTAATAAACATGGTTCGGGTCTTTTACCACAGAAAAAAGGAAAATAAGAACTGGTAAAATCCAATTTTTTTTTTTTCACTAGTATTGAAATAAATATTACAAAAAACAAAGGCACTTTATTTTAAATTTTAGGTTTGAACTTGTTTTGATGTTATAATTTATATTTCTATAATATAGCATTCTGCTAAATTATTTAATGTCGAGAAAATAACCAAATGCTATAAGTTTCTAAGCCTAGTACATAATAATATTATTACAGTTATCGCTATGGCCCCCCAACATAAACAGAAAATAACACATAGATAATATATTCTATAATCAATTTAATAAAATTAATTCAAATGAAAAATTATATTTTATCATTCTTATTTAGTTACATTATATTATAGAATTTATTTATTAAAAAAAATAAATAAATAAATAACACAAAACAAATAATACAATACTATTAATTTTCCTGGGTCAAACGACTAGCTAGCTAATATTATGGCAGATGATGACGACGACGCACAGGGGTTTGAAATGAATATTAAGCTTACGTGAAATCCAAATAATGAAATGTTAATTTTATGAGTTATTATCATTAAAATATACTACCTACATATACACATTAGTTGGTTGATTGCATAAAATAACTGTCATGCGTATTATCTAATCCTAGATAAAGATCATAAAGTATAGAATAATATTTTAATTATTTCATTCACGCACGTTTTCACGCACCGATCAAATAATAAATTTGTTTTAGATGAATTTTTTCATACAATAAAATACTCAGATGAAAGTAAGTTTTACACAAAAGTATTTTCATTTAATATTCATATAATTTTTCAAAATAGAAATTCATAAGATTGAATTTTAAACTAAAAAATATCCATTTTATTTATAAAAGACGGACATACTTCGCACGTGGGCGCATCCACTATTGTGGGTCAGAAGTTTGGAAAGTAAGACGTAGAAGGAAATTTAATGTATATCTGTAAGCAATGAAAAACAATTACTAACGAAAAACGATTCTGAGCGGAGTTCAGTTGATAGTGATGCTTTGTCAACAATATGTATACCATATTAAAGAATAATGCATAATATTGAATATAACTAATTGCCCAGTAAACACATGTTTATATGTTTTTGTGTAAGTAGTAAAAATATTTTACTACTCTAAAATTTCATAATTGTGATTGATTTATGTAACAAAAAAATAAATAAAATTATAAACCAACAGATAAAATGATAATAAATTATATCAGACGAGATATTGATTATACCTTGTTTTAATGTATTTTACAATTAAATAGCCAATTGTTTTTTCCAAATGTTTACAATTTTTCGTGTGATTAATAGGTATAATATCATCCTTATCTTTATCATCATTGTTCTTCAAATATTAATTTTATGCGATGTAGTTATTAATTCGAAGTGCCTGTTTACCTACCTCTTTCAACAATGTGTGTTTCCATGACAACAATGATTGTTTTTAAAAGATTAATTTTAAAATAACAAAAAATAAATAAAAACGGTTGCTTTTGGTAGCGAAAGTATTCACATAAAAAATAATAAAAAAACATCATTGTAAAACTAATACATTCATCGCTCCGCTTGGAATCTAAATTCGATGTCACCAATAATGCTCCAAAGTGCATTCTTAATTATTATAGTTTTAATAAAATACAGATGTTGCAGACCAAATTACAGTTATAATATCTGAATAGGTACACGCCTATTATATATTACACTAAAATGTGATTATACTATATCTAAAATTATCCTTCTCGAATTATAAGTGTTTATATTGGGTATGTAATTATGTCTAGTTTCTTTTTAATGATTGTGTTTTCGGCTGGTTTTAGTAGCGATAGAAAAATCATACATTTTACCCCCTACGAAGATTTATTCGTGGTGATTCTTACGCGGTTATGATATAATAAAACTTCCGTGGTCAAAATTAAAAAATAATTGTCTACACTAAATTCATAAAAACCACAATGGCCATGAATGGAGGTCTGATTACGAAAATAAAATGTGGTCCAAAATACAAAACTTTCTCAAAAATGTACATAAAAAATGGTCTCAATGCGATAGGAAAACGCATGTTTTTAACGTAAGACATTTAAAATGGTTTAAAAAAGAATTTATTTTATCGAATTTTCTTTAACAAAACCTGGGTAAAAAAAATAATTAATATTTGCTGAACATATTGTACTCTATGATTTTTTCATCGGATTCCTTAATATTTTCTATAGGAAAAATAAAAAAAAAAAACCAACGAATTTTCAGATGACAATAAGTTATTTTTAGTAATATGATTTTAAAACTGATAATAAGTTTAGATTCAGCACACTTCAAAATATTAATAATATTATTAGATATGAATTAAGCAAATTTTCTAAAAATCTCTCTAAAAACATTTCTTCTCTTCCCCTAATAACGGAGTTGATTTCAAAACTGACAATAAATTTGGATTCCGCGTATTATCAATAAATATTAAAATTAGTTTATTGTATGAATTTTAGAGGTTCACATTTTTATAAGCTAAGCTAAATATTCATTTCAAACCACTGTGCGACACGCCGGCGCTTTCGGTATGCAATTTACCATCGTTCCCGTGTAGGGTGTGAATGTATAGATTGTAATATTATAATATTGTGCATATTTTCAGTCCCGAGAAAAGAAATTAAATTAATCTTGAGAAGTTTTCAATACAAGAAAATTAAATGCGATGTAAACTTGTAGATATTAAACAAATAGTATAGTTTTTATTTAGATATTTCTATAACATTCTTCAATTTGAATATTATAAAAATAGTCAAATATTTATAAAAAAATTTTTTGCTATATGAATAATACATAATTTTAACCACATACACATAATTTATATTAAAAATACATACACTTATGCAATTTAGACCCGAAAAGAGGGGAAAAATCTCATTAAAACAAAAATTATAAAAAGAAAATCTAAGCATTGACATAAGCTTTTATTTTTCTGGTTTCAAAAACAAAGCTATTCGAAATAAAATATGGGCAAAATAAAAATTGTGTTATTATTATGTATTTAATATAAAATAATAATTGTACTAATATGGTTCAATGAATAAACCTTATAAAACCAATTTAGGTAATATATAACTCTTTCCCTAAAAAGAAGCCACACACCAATAATACAATTTCTAGTGAGTAATTTACTTTTTAAATATATATATAATTTTTTTTTTTTACTAGATTTTGGATTTTAATGGCGTGGTTTTTTCAATTAAAAAAAAAAAAAAAAACATTGAATCTATTTTTATATTAAATACAAATTTTAAATTTCAAAAAATTTGTTTTGGTTTAATCATTCAAGACATTTCTGTAATTTATATTTCGGTGGTTGATTAGTTTGGTTTTAATGACTGACAACAGAACTTATGACCTATGACTAGATATTTTAGAAACTACTCAAAAATATATTTTGTTAAACTGCTAAGAATTTATAAAGATGATGTACACATTGTATACAAATAAATTTAATAATATTATAATATTGAATTTGGTTCGTTAATATAATCCTACCTAAATTAATATCATTTATTATAATATAATAGTTTAAAAGGTTTGGCCGTTATTAACGTTAAATAATGGTGGCGGCACCTGCGGGTTTTGAAATTAAACTAGATAAATTCAAAAGGAAATTAAGAAGGGGAAAAAAATGTATAAATCAAAAAGGTAGACCACAAATTTAGATATAGGTACGATACAGAAGCTGATTTTCTAAGCGACGACCCCGAGGGCGAATAAACAAAACCGCTGCTACTGCTGAATAGTCGTCCTCTCGATGGTAAACGTTAAAAAAAAAAAAAAAAAAAAGACTCAATATTTTAATATTATAGGAGAAACGGTTACATTTAATGGGGAATATTTTTAAGTCGTCTTAAATTTACAGAAATAAACTCTATGAATAACTCTTTTTTCATGATTAACTTTTATTACAAAAGCTATCTAGTATTTCGATGTTTTTCTCTAATATAGCTTATTGAACTGATAAACGCGTTGCAATATATAGTATACTAAATACCTAAAATGTGACGTATTAGTATTAGCTTTTCACTAGCAAAATATCACATTTCATAACTAGAATTATTTTTAATAGGTAGGTTTATGGAGTAAATATTAAATTATATTTTAAAAACCATAATGGAAACCATAATATAATGTTTTGAAACCATCGTATACATATTCGTGTATTATTCAAATTAATTCATTACAATGTACAAGTATTATAAAATAATATATCGTGTATTATGTACTCTTTTATTTATTATATAATTATGCAATACGCTATTAAAAACGGAAAAAAAAAAAAAGAAGAAAAATCCATTAACGCGTTTTAAATTATACTTACCCACCCGAAATATATAATAAAAATCTAACGTGTTTCGTTACTTTTTTTTTTTATTAGTTTATAAAATAAAACAATATTTTACCTACTGTTGAAAAAATATAAAAAAAATTACATTTTCAAGTATTCCATAAATAATTATATTTGTAAAATTCATGGAAAAAAAAAGTTCTTAAAACAATTTTATAATTACGGTTTTGTAATGAAAAGAAACGTTTGTTCAGTAATTCATATAATGTGGTCAAATCCAAAATAATTCGACAGTCATTTTTAATGTTAATAGTTGAAGTTAATCACGGAATCGGCACGGCCTTAATTAATAATTAATACGGTTTTGTTCGAGATATACAATACGATATTAAACAGCCGATCTAATAATTTTATCCGTGCCTAGTAGCGATATATTATATTATACCAAAAAGGCAAGTATCATTGTATTTATTGACTCATGAAAATTTATATATGTAAGAGATATAAGTGATAACGGTGATACACGGTTATAACACGTGGGTATTTGAGGAAGGGTGTGGGTAATCGGCACAACTGTCTCCCCCAAAACCCACATCATTGTGTGTATCTTCTAATTATAAACGTAAATGAAAAACGATTGTTGGCAGAATTCCGTGGAAGTGTATAGTAATAAAGTGGTGACGTAAATTACGACTCAAAAACGCTCTTAAATTACACTAGAGTGTTTTAATAATCAAACCGCCACAACAAAATGATAATATCAGTATTAAATATCTATTCTGTAAACATTTCTGGTCTAGGATTATTTTCACTGACTTACTAACAAAAGAGTCGAACCGATGCTGCAACATAAATATTCTTGTTTCGCTCATTCTTAATAAAAATTTAAAAAATACTTTCCGGACACACCGACTAAACAAAATTTACTGACAAAAATTGTCTTTTAGATAATAGCCGAAGCAAGATTTCTCTATCGAATTTGACAAACTAAAATCTAATCAATTGATCATAAAAGATTTTTAAAGTTAAAAACCCATCCCTAGTCAAAGTGTATATAAAGTTTGGTACTAAATTGCTCATTAAAAGCTGATAATCTAGAATGAAATGTTGTTTTCTGTGATAGCTAGGTGGTAATGAAAAGCAAATTTGACTGATAAATTTTAAAATTTTTTGCCCTTTCAATGTAAGCATGTACAAATCAAATTACTATTTTGAATTGCAACACTTATTTTTAACACAAGATTCGAATAGTCTTATTAAACAAAGTATCTTACGAATGAGTATATCTCATTGAAATATCTACGGGGATAATATAGATAATCACATTTTTTTTATTTTATATAACTCACAGGGATAATAAGGACTACAACTATTTATATTTATTGATTTTAATTTTTTGGTAAAAGAACTAAAAAAATAACTTTTTTTTTTATTATTTTCGAAAAATTTGAAGATTTTATAGAGTATATTTTTTTGAATATGTTGATGTTTCAACCTTTTATTTGTATTAAATTGATGATATTTAATAATTTTTTAAAGGTCAGAAAAAAGTACCTATAATTATGCAGCAAGCTGTAATTGTATTTGCTAATTGATTCCATGGCTAATTATGGCTAATTGACTATAGTTTTTTCCTCGGAACTTTAAAAAATCATTACTCACGCGGACCACATTAAATACCGTCACTGCATCTACCGAAATTGTCATCAAGCACGTTCATCATCTCTTTTAAATTACTTTCATACATGTTTAAAGGTTTAAACACAATAAAACGTATATAGAGGTAATGCGATTTGATTATTAAATCGAGCTGGTATCGGTCTGAATAAAAGCACGCGATTCGAAATTCAGTACACGCCGTTCTCGAAGTTAGGCGTTTCCGAATCAAATATAAACGATTTTCGTCGTTCTTTATTCTTTTTGTTCTTTATAAGCGGTTCAATGTGTAAAGGCGCTTTTTTCCTCGAACTTTTTTTTTGCTACACAACGAAACTTTTAAATTTGTATTTATTTAAACGAATTCTATTTCCTGTTATCAAATTAAATATATATATATTCTGTTGAATACGACATGCAGGACATAGTTGTATATTCTGACCACTTATACATGCCAAGTTTATAATATTCCGAAAATTTAATGTGTATCAATGATACACCGAAAAAATACTTTTTTACCGACATAAATTTACAACGAAATATGATTAAAAAAAAAAAAAAAAACTATTTCTATTTTTTTTAAAGTTTTAATCCGAACAAAGTAAAAATCGAATGATAATTCTAATGAAGTTATTAAAATATAACACAACTCGCACTAAGCTATAAAATATGAACATAATGGCCATGCGTACCATTAACATGTATTCTTATTTCTTGTAGAATTTTATCATCCATATAATATTCTTATATTTATATGAACACGAATACATATATAACTTCATCTGCAATATATTTGTTTTTATGAATAATAATATAATAACGTTTTCGGTTTAACTGTGTACGACCATAAGACCTGTACCATACAGTGCACAAGATGATACGGTGCGCATTGTTGTAGTATAAGAGATAATATTACGTTATTCCTTCTGCAGAGGGTTAAACAGGCGGGTCGAGGTCTACAAAATAGACATACTATTTTATAGATATATGTATTATATTATAAAAATGTGGACATGTGTGTGCGTGATGATGTACGCTATGATTTTTATGGCAGGACATCATGTCGCGATATTTTTTTTTTAAATATATATATATAAAAAAACATCGGAATTGTGCTTCTGTGAACGCGGGGTAATCGACTGAAAACAAAGAAAAACATACAGCGATATTTGAACCGAGAAAATACTCGAACGAAAAACGGTATGTAGACTGTCGTGGTAACGAACACGGTATATACGTATACGCGATATATTTAGACCGAGATTTTTTTGTTGGCTACACGAAAACCGACGTAAGAAATTATTCTATTTAAATAATAATATTTTATACTTCACGTTATATGCAATTACATTACCTACTTAACGTAAAAGTTATATTTTAAAATAAAAAAATATCATAGACAATTTTTTTCGAAAGTTTCGTTGCATAATTTAACAAAACTTTTATAATATATTTTGATGGAATTATAAAAACGTTCACGTAGACAAATAAAATATAAAGAAATGGACAAAAATAAAAACCTGTTTTTGTATATTATGTATTTGAAAAAATAAAATCGTTTTAACTATATTTTAAACGTAGATTAAAAAAAGAGCCGATACTGGAAACAAGTGTGCCACTGTTTTTGTCGGACAGTTGAACATTTAGAATACATATCTAAATGTATTTAATTAATATCTATAAACGACAACAAACGATAACAAAAAACGATTCGAAACGAAGTTCGGTAAGAAATAAGAAGTGCCATTCACAAAAGTACCTATCAAATATAAATTACGTAAATCAATTAAAATGGCTTTACTCAATTATTAAAAAACAACAGGAAAAATCGAATAACGAAATTATTTTCTTGCTTATTAACTTAATTGAAAATACAACTAAAAAGGTTAAATGTCGCCTTTCTATTTGAGCAATATTTCAAGTAGAAAACATAAGCTGTACAAATTCAAAATAATGAAATCGTAACGCCATAAATTCATCAGTTTTCATTTTTCATCTTTTTTCCAGTTTTTAAACTATTGTGAAAACTACTTGGAAAATCAAAAGAGACTTACTTCATAAACAACTACTAGATCCAAATTTTTTTTTTTTAAAAAAAAAAGGTCACTTATTGGTATTTTTTGATTAAAGCAATATTTCTGGTAGAAAAGAAGCTCACAGACAGAAAAAAAAAATTATTAAAAAAAACACACATCATAGTCAAACCACTAAAAACATAAAATGTTAGTGTTTAATAATTAAGAAATACAAACTCGGAAAGCCGTACAAAATCGTTGCCGTAATGATATTTTTTTTTTTATATTGAATGTTCATACTTTAGCAAGATTCGTACATTTTATTTTTCAATCCAGGGAACATTTAAAATATTTGTTGTTGGCGTTGTTAAGCACTGGTTGCGATTTTGAAAACAATTTTGCGTTGTCAAAAATCGTTTTTCCGCCGTTGAAAAAAATTTGTATTATGTAGTATACTATATATAGGGTAGTTTAAACAATAAGCAATTTGCTAATAAAAATAATATGTATATATATATATATTCCATATCTACGACATGGGCTTGTAGTTAGTTCATAGTAGTTCAATAGTAGTTCATTTTGACAAACTAATTCAGTGATGCAACCGTGTATGTTATACATATCTGTCGTAAACGCATACAGAGTGGATTCAAATTAAATCATTTAACAACTTTTTTTGTAAATTGTTTTTTTATCGCCCTTTGGGTCGCCGTTTATCAACGAGTATATAAAGATATTTTCGGATTTCCCGTTTTCGTTTGTATTTTTCCATAGCAGTCGTTCTCGTATACACCATAATGCATTTACGGGGCTTATTAAAATGCAATGCAACCGATTAGAAATTCATTATAGTAAAATAAATGTATTCTTTATTATTTTTGAAATTATTGAACAGTTTTTATAATTGGGTATACATTAACTTATTCGTTAAATTGTGTCTCATTAAAAATAAATGGTCTACTTAAATTACCTACCTATTATAGTAAAGTAATACATACAAAATACAAAAAATCAATGTAGTATGACACATCAGTCTTTCATGTCCCGTATTATAAATTACTCATTTTTTTTTTTTTTTTCAATTGTATGTACATAATTATAATATTTAAATTATTCAATTACTCAATTTTTATAAATGTATATTAATATACTTTAATATGTGTTTATGGTTTAAATAGTTTGTTACTTATTTATTATTTATAAATATTAGGTATACATAGATTAGGTTAGATGCAAATATCAACTAAAACTGAGGAATTCACATGCCTTATGAAAATCACTTCAAAATAGTATGTTTGTATATGAGTGTATACCGCTATACTATATACATGTGTACGCAATAGGTACCTATTGCGTACAAATATAATATATCGCAACATTTTGGAGGTTTTGAAAACTGCGTCGCTGACGAAAATTCTTGGATTACACCATTTTTCAATCATTAGTCAAGGTTACATCCCTAAATTTGTTTCAACGACATTTCTTAATTTGCTCATAATAATATTAAATATTGTAGTGTATACGTTCGCAATATAATTCATATAAAAATGGGACAGTTTTCCGGTCGCCCACGGCTAATAACTTAAAGGCAGGTAGGTTCCAATGCGATTAGTATATTATAAGTTCAAAAGTTCATAGAAAAGTTATAGGGAACTTAATTAATTTTCTTTTGAACAGTTTGCAAATGAAGTTTTCTTTGATCAGAGTTTCTCTTTTATAGTATATACTTCGACCGAAACCCAATTAATATGATGAAGCCTAACGATCGTTTTTGCTTCTTATAATATAGTAGGTAATAAAGAAGAAGAACAACAAAACGCGAACATACTTCAAAGAAGGTGATGGAGAAGAAAATAAAAATACATTAACATTTGAAAAAAAGTCTAATCTATACAAAATCTAAACGTTATAAGTTTTTATTTTCGTCTATACAAAAAAATCAAGAAGATCCGGAAGATAAGAAGAGAATACCATTTTGTGAAGTCACACAGAGTAGAATAGTCTTATTGGATATGTGGTGATGTAATTGTAATTATCAAACTTAAATACGGCATATAAATGGAAAACAACTAGAAAGACACTAAAAGGAAGATCTACGAACCGATGAATGGATAGATTGGTTGGAACATGACTTGAAAAAATAAGGTGTAGTGAATTGACTGATAAAGAGAATACGTAAGAACGGGGAGTAAAAAAACAGTGTCGACGGTGACAAAAACTATTGAATAGTCATGAGGCCAGAAAGAAAGAGTAGCTTATAAATCATTTATAACAATTGGAAAGCAAATAAATAATTTTCCTAACAGACTATATTAGGTAGGGGCTGGAAGGGAAAGGAATTAGATAGTAAATCTTTGCCACTGTTAGAATACCGTAGTGCAGGTGAAGTAAAAATCAGTGATGATATTTTAATTTCTCGGTTAGACAACCTTAGCGAAAGATTCAGAATGGGTACAAACTACGAACACACATACATAGCTGATTCTGTCGGAAATGTCTGCGGTTTAGTTTTAGTGCGATCGCTATAGTTTGCTTATAGTTCTGCAGGGTTTGCATAATTTTACAAACTTTACGGTACAAATTTACGTAACATTTTATGTATGAATATAATATGCACACGCGGATGATTTGAATAAAATTATTACCTAACAACTTTACGAATTATTTTCGAATTATACTTGTTTAATCGTTTTATACTTGCATGTATTGTGTATAGTTCAATGGTTATACTTACGTGTACAGTATAGAATTAAATAGAACCAAACGAAAAATAAAAGATAACGAAAGCGTTCTACGCTTTTTTTGTTTGTCGAGGCATTTTAAATTCAATCAGTTTATACGTAAAAATGAAATATTTCAGTTTTATAAGCGATGAAAGTAAAAAAAAAGAAGCGCTTTAAAATTACAGAAGACATTTGCAAATTTTAATAATTTATCGCAGACAGTTCCTTATTGAATATGTTTACTTTTATTTTTAATTCAATTAAACAGCATGGCGTGTACTTGAAACTGCCTCTCAAAACGAACGCGTTCACACACGCCACACATCAACACACTGATTGATCGGCTGCCGTATATGTGTAAATTGCCATTTCGCCGAAAGACGATAAATTACTATTGCTTAAAAGATTTTCCACTTCTCTACGACTACGCGTATATATTAACCGCACTCCTTTCGAAGTAAAAAGGGCACAAATTAGCTTGAAAAGCTACCCCTCAAATTACTCGAGTTTCGCTTAAACACAAAATCGACATGTATAATACGGTTCACCGTATACAATTCTTCGCTTCGTGTTCGATTTTCTATTTTTCGCCGTAAAAGCAATCGATTTAACCTTTGTTTCAAAAAGGATTATCAAATATTGACATCACTTTATTTTTTATTTTTTAGATTCTAAGCTCAAATACAATATTGGTTTTACTATTTTGATGTGTGTATGTTTTGTCTATCTGTATACTTCTTTTATATTAGAAATTTTCTTCCAATCTCTAAAATGACACATTCGATCTAACATAAAATGTTGTCTTGTTGATACGTACTACATAGGCTGACCATTTTTTGATTATCCTTATAATTTTCTTGATAGATAAAAATAACCTGTTTGAAAAAAAAAGTTTAAAATCGAATAGTTTACGGCTACGTTTCATTATTTTTTCCATTTTTTTTTTATATTTGCGACATAGCGAAGAATGTATTGGTTTTACAATGTTTATTTTTATTTTTTTTCTAAGAACCACTTTTCTACCAAAAATCTTGCTTCAGTGTATCGAGCGTAAGATTTCATTTTTTTTAAAAATTAATTTTATCTACACGTGAGGAGGTCATTTCTTTATTTTTCAAGTAGTTTTTATAAAAATTGGGAAAAACCGAAAAAAACGTAGAAAAAACGGAATGTAATATTTTCAATTTTGTTTTTTATTGTAATTTAGTTAAAACTATTTGTAAAGACTTATAATTTGAACGGAAAACTTATATTAACCTTTTTTGGCAAACTTCCACTAGTATTGCCTCTTTTATTTTATTATAATTCAGTAAAAAATACAATATTTACTAATAGAGACCTGAAATTTTCACAGAATGTTTTTATTGGTGATTTATATATTACGCAACCAACTTATTTAGTATACATAATCGATATCAGTTTTTGAGTTTTTGTGTGGTTTTCTAAAAAATGGGGAAAAATCATGAAAAACATAGGGAAAACGGGAAAATTTACGGAATTAGTTAGGTTAAGCTATATGGGTCATTAGGGAATATGGTTTCATTAATTTTGATTTTATTAGTATTATGTTAAAAATAATCGGTGATACCTGAATTTTCATATTAATTCTAGCGATTTTTATTTAATTTTAGGCATTTTACATTTTTTAGTACTTTTAGTTTTTATTTGGTTTTATGAAATTTAAATATTTGGACGAGCGAAAATGTTTGCAAATTTTATTTAATGTTATCGGTAAAGTTATACCTAGGGCGTTAAAAAAAGTAAAAATTTTAATTTTTACTATACACGAGTCCGTGTAAATAGTACAAATTAAAAATACATCTATATTATAACATTATATAAAATTTGATTTCTGGATAAATATTTCGGTCATATGATCATAGGTTTTAATTCTATTTTCAGGAGGTATTATGGGGTACTGAATACACACTTGATAAATTTCAATTTTTAACTCTTTTGGCGCATGCAAAATACAAATTAATATTTTTGGATAGCCACACCTATTTTAACACCAGATTCAAATAGTCCTATTTTTTCATTCGATGATGTAATTCAATTTACAAATTGAATGAGCTACTGAAATATAGATTTTGTAAACTGACATAAGAAAAAAAAATGTGTTTTTCGATTACAAAGAACATTATTATACATAAATGAAGACTGATAGTTTTTAGAACTTGAGTTAAAAATAGTTTGTATATTCTCTTATATTTGAACAAGTTTGGTGGAATAAAAGTTTTCGTTCCTCCAAGGATTCTTGGGTGTGGATTTTTTCGTGTTTAATCTCAAAACTTTCTTCACTCGTGGGAGTAAAGTAATAGAATAACCAATTTAAAATGTATATAATAAAAAAAGAAAAACATGCAATATCCTTAATTTAAAATTTTTTTAATCATAGTGCATCTTATAAAATATTAAAAACTAGCTGTTTAGTAAAAAAAAATGACTGACTGAAAGTTATATTCATTTATAGTTGTTGTATAACTACAAGTTAAAATACAATTTTAAATTTATTAGGATTTTGTAAATATAACTTTATTTACTCTTCGCTAAAAAAACAAAAAATGTAAATACTTATATTGAACTAAACGAATCGAAAAACTAAAATTTTCCTAATATTAATACGCCATATCCTACACGTTTTTCATAAAATGAGCTATAACTCATTTATAACATATCTCCAATATTACATTTTTAGAATTACCAATTTTAAAACTAATAGGAAGAAAGTTTGTCGTAATACTAATTTACAGCTTATTACTGAACACCGTACAGTCACTATATTATGAATACATTTTAAAGTAACCATCCGTCTACAAAAGAAAATATTTACCGCCCGAAGACAAACAACTTTCGAATACATTTTATTTTGATGGGTAGTTTATGTAAACTAAACCCGTCCACCGACAATAGACAAGTAAGCCGCTTATTTCACCTTAAAATGGCAAAGAGCAAAAAAAAAAAAATTTAAAAAAGGCAGAAACGGCGACGCGACGGTTTTATCCAATTTATAATAAAACTCACGAAGGGAACACGAAGAAGAAACATGAAATGTGATTCTAATTTTCCGTTTCCTTCCTCCTCTGGTCTGTGTATACATCTATCTTGTTAGGAGGATCCTTTTTCGTTTTTAACTATATATACAAAATAATTCCATTTTATGTGGGAAAAAATGCAATACAGAATAAACTAAACAGACAAATTAAATAAAAAACCGGTAGCGTATAATGAGGACAAATTGGACTAACATCGATACGATTCATAGCTGCTACAAGTATAACTGGGGAAAGGGGGAAGAGTTATTCTCAAGTAACAAGGAAGCGAGAGTTTATATTATTATATTGGCACTGTTGCGTTTTATCTAGATTTTTATACTTATAAAATTAATTAAATTGCATTAAATTAAAAAACACAATTTGTTATAATTAAATTATCAGGTATACCCCTTATAAAGTTGATATCATTGCGATTATCGAAGTCACTAGTTAGCAGTTCTTGAATAGGAAAATTAAAAGAAGACTACGATACCTAAACACAATTATCATCCTTATAATAATTAAACTCAACGTAATCCACGCATGGTAATAATAAGTAGGGGTACGCTAATATTATTGAAAAAATTGTTGAGGTACTTAGTCCTTAACAACTCAAATTCAAGAACTAATAACTAGTTTAAAAATACAATTATGATGAGACGATGAATAACTATTTGTAGATAGAGCCGACGATTTACTGTTTTAAAAGTACCAAACCGTATTGTAATCCACTAAAGTTTATTTACTAAGTCTACCAGTCTTTAGTGTAATTCCTGAAAAGTAAGACCCATACAACTTTCTTTCACATGTGGCGATATACATAACGAGCTTGAGCTACTAAAAAACAACCATTCAAACGGGTGAGAAAACATTTCTGCCTCCATACTTTATAACTACAACAAGTATCAGACTTACACTATCCTATTTTTTAATATACATTTCTAGAACTCGTAACACACACTTCCAATTTTAGACTATACACTTTACGTCAGGGTTCACTAAAAAAATATAGACCACAGTTTAGCACCTTTCTTATGTTTAGAAACACCCACCCAGTTCTTAATTTGTTATCTTTATATCTATATGTAAAAAATTGTTCTGTATTTTTTGTTTTCATTTAGATAATTATTTTAAGAATGCTATTTTATCTTAATCTAAATATTTTAACATATATATTTGTATACGCTGCACATAGGATAAGGATTTTTCAGAGAATAATTGTGCACGTGTGGAAGTTTTCTCAATGATGTGCTATAGTCGACCAAAGAATAAACGTGGGGAGTGCGGCAATAAAACATTCTTGTCAGGAACGGTCGGCAAAACGTCATCGTTTCGTGCCTACTCATAACTTCTCAGACACGCTGAAGAAACGCACTCGACCCTCGTATAGAGAAGATTATGTAAAGGAGTGTGTGAGGTGGAAAGTGTATAGTGATGTGATGGCAGCAGACTGCAGTCGCCTCTTTTGCATGTATACCAGCCAACCATGACCGGTTATATAATATGCATTTAGACGTTTTATGTACATTTTTTTTTCTTTTAATATTAAGATCACTATAAATCACTGCGATCATTTGAACCATGGAAACGATAATGATGCAATTTGTCTAGGCGTAGTTTAAGATTCCAGAATAATATACTAAAACACTCATTATCTTGGAAAATAATAACTTTTTTTTTAGAGTATGTTTTTTAAAAAAACTAAGAAATAAACAGCTCAAAAATGTTACACTCGATATTGTTTTTTGGTACCACCATTATTTTTAGGGTTGAAACCACTGACTACATTTGATTTTTATATAACTCCATACATAGATAAAGTTCAGGTTTGAAAACGTTTTGGTGTCAAAATGTTTATTGTGTAATGTACATCAACCCGTTGATAAAATATTCTACCTTTAAAGTTGTTGGTAGGGAAAGAGGAATGAAGTACTATTCAAACACCGTGATACAAATTTCCAGGAAAATATAGGAATATTCCAATCCAGTATTAAAAATAGATGTTGTTATTCAAAAATGTAATTTTTATTGGGCATGCGAACACTTATAGAGTTCATAAATTTAAATATATCTTAAAGTGTGTATTTTAGTTCCACATATCAAAAACCGAATTCATAGCCAATGTTATCCAGTTGAAATATGTAGTGTTACCTGGAAACGTGAACACACAGTATAACTACATAATGTAAGTTGCCGACTTCAAAATTATTAATATAATTATAAAAATTACTCGAGAATATTTTACTCAACCAATACTGAACAAAATTTAATATTAGTTTTATTTTTAACATAGTGTTTATAATAAATTTCTTAAACATGTAAACCGATAACATAGACTATATCTCCATAATATTATTTATTATGCATGAACACTAATTTGTTGCAGCGCAATAACGTAAAATTAAAATTGTTTTACTACTTTTGTAATTAAAGTTGCATTCACTTTGATAAAAGAAAATAATAATTTAGGTTGTTAGTTATAATTATGTAAGACAACTATTATACTACGATATTAAAAACCATATACATGAGAAATTATCATAAAATCATGAATAATACCCGTGTGTTTAGTTAGTTATTTCCCGTGTGATTATATTAAATATAATTTCTAGTATTTTAGATTCTGAGTGGAGCGAAGAACCCTATGATTTCACAAAGATGTTTAGTTTTTTAATTTTTTTTTTTTATTGTTTTTTCTATAGAAAACTTTTCTTCTAGAGATCTTACTCAGATTTTTAAATATAGCAAGTTTTCGATTTTTCCGAGAGTTTTCCCAGCAAATGATAACAACCGGGGAAAACGTAGAAAAAATGAAAAAATCGGTACATTAAACAAATATTATTAAAGAAAATATATAATGCCTATTTAATTATATTACCTTTAAAGGACATATATTGTTGACAAAGCATCACATCAACCGAACTCCACTCAGAATCATTTTTTCATTAGCAATGGTTTATCGTTGCTTATACAGGTATACATTTAATTAACTATATCAATAGCTGCACCCGTCTTTATTATTCCAGGATAGCTTTTTATACCTATAATTGTATTTTAAAAATAGGAGAAACAAATTTAACCAATTTTTCCGCCATGAAAAAACTGCATTTTATCTTTCTCTCTTTCGGTCAAGGTGGATTGTTGGTTTTAATGTATAACACATATAAAACTACAATTTGTCTATCATACGTTTATATTAAGAACTATAAATATTAAGATTCAAAATAATATTACCTTCTTCCTTAACTTTCTACGAATTAAGAAAAAACCTTCTCTAGAAGTTATACAAATATGTTACAGTTAAAAACCGAAATCCGCTAAAACTAACTTCCACAAATCCCTTTCATCAAATTTGATTTTACTAAAACTAGAATTAACTAGAACCAACAATGTTGAAACTAATTTAAATTATTGTATTTTTGTTAGAACTAGTAAATATGTCTATATAATATATTAGGTAAAATTAAAATTTTTTGGTAAAAATTTATTTTCAGAAATAATTAATCTACCGTTAGGTAGTTGAAAAAAGATGGAAAGAAATTCTTTTATATTAGGATAAGTATAGAAATGTATTGATGTTTAAAAGGTAATATTGCGTTAGATTTAACAAAAAGGATTTGTGTAAGCTAGTCTTGTCAGATTTTGTGTTTAACTGTAACATATATTTACATTTGTGTACATCCTTTCATATTAAGTATGTAAACCATCATTGCATAATATTATCATAAAAAACAACTTTTCGAATTTTATAATGGATACAAATTTTGTATTTTAAATATCTTCGCTTTACGATAAATGTATTAATTTTAAAATAATATAGTGGGTACAACTTAATAGCCTGTCAAAACAAATTTTAATATTGTTACATAAAAAGGGGAGGAAAGATGACCTTTTTAATCTTAAACATATATGTAATATTTTATTTGTGAAGATCGAAATAATATTATATTTATAATTTTGAAATATAGTGACAAATCGTTACATGCTAACAAAAAATATAAAACATATAACAATGGAACTTTTTTTAATACTATCGGATATTTCGTATAAATAACAATTGTACCCGGTATCCCGGTAGGTTTACTACGAGATAATATAGCCTATTATTTCCGTTACCTAACTATAAATCGTAACGTATCCGCGTGCAGCAGACGGAAGTGTAAACTTCCGGCCCAAGACCCGAGTATACGTTTAAGTTTGGCCAAAACATTTCCGGCAATGTCTACCGCTCGACATAATACTAGTATTATTATTATATTTAAGTGAATGGAATAGAATTGACCATCGAAGTTTCTTTTCCTTCTATATTTGATTTGATTGTTTGCAAAACCTCAATAAACTAGTGTAGTGTAATGTGTTTGATTTAATTGCACTGGTGGTAATAAATTATGAATATAATCAAGTGGTTGATAAAAATAATAATAACATAATATTCTGATAGAAAACCCGTGAAAATCCCTAATATTCACATAATACGACGTATTAAATGATAAATGCTCCTGATTTCTTTAAAAGAGTCTCATTTATAATTTCTTTTCGCATATCTTATCACAAACTTCTTCTTTTTTTATTTTTATACTCACACCAATATTTATGATCCTATGACTTAATTCGTCACTGCATACACAGAACATTTAACTATCAGTATCTTGCGTTTTCGTTCTTCTTATCTTGTACCATCGTCAGGTATTTGTTAAAATATTGTTTTTCTGCTGTTACTTTAATATAGTTTTAGATTGTACCATTTCTTCAATTACCATTGTCTATCAATGCCGTTTGGCATCTAAATTTTCGTATTTTTGTAAGTAGATCGCTATCGATTCATAAATAAAAAAATAAAAATAATAGTTGTCTGTTTCCAAATAACACGCATACGATTAGTGGGGAGGGGTCGTTGACCTGTATATTTTATTATATATTACATAGATCCTCGACTCTGTCGTTTTACGAGCCGATGCGCTTTTCTGATCCTACTTGTCGTCATTATTAAAATCGTCGTCAACGCAAAATAATAAACATCAGCTAGTCTTGGCTTTTGCGCAATCAACAGTCCTTTATAGCTGGGGTGAAGTAATAGCGAGAGACCCATTATAATATTATAATATGTACGATAAGTCGACACGTCCGTTTTGCAAAGCCGAGAACAACGATGATGACGTTGATATCTGCTGCGGGGATACTTATATATTATAATGCGCCACTTAAAATTTTTTTTTTCTTGCTTTCCACATAAAAACGCAGTGGCGTCATTTGAGGGTAGTGGAAAACTCGGATTTTTACCTCCTGTCTTAAGTTAGAATTTCTTTTTTTGTTATTTTTTAATTACACAAATTTGCTTTTTTTTATATTATATGCATATAAAAATAAAACCATTTGTTTAAAATGTGCATTTTTAGTTAAATTTATACACAACTTTCAAGTGAATACTCATTATTTAATGGAACTAGCACGATACATTAGTAAAAATAGACCAACCGGAAGTTCGTCATAGCGTTGACTTGTGGATATTTTTTTTTTTTCTTTCTTATATTATTTGAGGCTTTATTTTTATAATCATTTCACTCATTCATTAAAATATAATAATGAATAAACTTAATAAAATATATTTAAAAAAAAAAAAACTGTTTTCACGAACGGTAATATTAATTAATATAAACCATTATCACGCTGAATTAAAAAGCAACAAAAATGCTATTGTTTGCTACAGAAGTAGCTCATAAGAATAATTATTCGACCGTTCGTGGAATTTTTTATAACAGTAATAAAATAACTGCAATGTCGGTAATGCATTATTGAAACTACTTTTTTTTTCACACTAAAATATCATTCCTTTTACACTAATCGCTCGTTCGTATTCATTAGAAAACTTAACTTAACCTGACCTTAAATTTTGTGATACATTTTTTGAATACGCTGAACCTTTTTTTTTTTTTTGGTATTCAATTGAATCTCGAACAAATTCAAGAAAGCATAAAACTCCTTTGGATCTTTCTTATAATGTCTGGTTAAGTGGCGGTAAAAGTGTCGGTTATCTAACCGTTACGTTATCGGTTAAGTGCCGGTTACGGCGATCTGTTCTTACAATCTTCGATTAACGATCGTGTAACTAACTGGCAGTTTTACCGACAATGATTCCGAAAACAATCGCCCAAGACCAAACTTTATTGTTTTACGCATACGCAATTCTTGAGTTATTATTTATTATTGTTATTATCATCTATACAGTCAGATAATTCGTTATAAATAATATAAATTTTATAATAAAATATTTTCTTGTCTGTTTACAAAACAAAACTCGGTATTATAATATTCATATTGATTATTGACATATTCTTCGTTACTTATTTAAAGTCCTAACTATTAGCTTCTTAACTATTTAAAACATGTCAATAAATAATGAGAGACTTTGTAGCAGTAATTTTTCTATAACGGGAAAATACGTTGGTCGAGTTAGTTGTAAAACCAACTGTTGTCTAATAATTCTAAGTAGTTTTTGTGTTCTCGGAAAGTTTTGTTTCCTAATTGCAATATTCAATTCTGAAATTTCATTTTCGTAGTCTAAAGAATCACTTTCAATCAAACCGCAGTTATATATTGGTATATTGCTCTTTTCATAATTCTAACAATAAAGTAAAAAAAAAAAACAAAAATGTATACTCTGTACAGATAAACTCAAGATAAACATATAAAACACAAAATTAATAGTATAGAATAAATTATTAGTAGTGACGGTAATCGTAAAAAAATATTGATATGTACCTATTGGTAACACAATCTGAGAGATTTTAGCTTAACCGGAGGATAACCGGCAGAATTCCGTATGATAAAAATTCGACGGTAAAACTTTTCTTAACCGACGAATGTAAGAATCAACTGTCAGTTAAATTTCAGTATAACTGCCGGTTAGCGCTAACCGACACTTGGCCGGACATTGTAAGAACGGGCCTTAATCACCTAGAGTTTTAAAGTATTTCATAAAATGACTGTATAAACTTATAGAGATAATAACATTAGTTTATTAAACTTACTAATTTATTAATATAACATTTTTTTTTTGTATTCTTGAGAGAATTTTAAAATTTAAATATGAGCCAGCTTATGCGATTCATTAATATTGGACATTTTAAATGAGCGCCACATGGTACAAATCAATTGCATCGCGGGAATATCTCGGAGATTTGCTTTTATTTCGTTATTTTAACCGTTAGCGAACGATTGATTCTTTGATACACGAAACGGTTCGGGCCGCGGGCTCAGGTTGTAGGGGTTAGCCGATAAAAAAAAAATAAATATATTTCGTATATTACTATTATCATCATCACAACGTTCGCTCGGAAGGTATAAAATTATTGTAAAAGGCGTAGAGGAACAATACTACTGTCTACTGACTGTCGGTGCAGCCGCCGTGCATACTGTGCGTTATATTATCGATTTTTTACTTCGGCCACCGGAGGCTGTGCAGCGGCGTTTTTGAACACCAACTTCCCCTACTCCCACGCCCCTCTCGCCCGTGTCCACCACCGTGTCATCTTCCTGTGTGCAGCCATCACTACACGCACGCACACGGACACACAGACACGCACACAATGTGCATAAAAACCCACTCTTCGTCCCTCGTCCTGACCGGCGGCAAATACATCACGGCGGCGGCGGTCTTGTCAATATTGTCGGTGGCGGTGACGGCAGCAAGAGCACAGTGCAGAGCCAGTGCAGGATTTTGATGTGCACGCGTGCCACGGTGTACGTATGCGTATACGTATACCCTTTTATAATAATAATAGTAATATATGAGTTAATAATAAAATGTCGGAGGGTCGACATTTTTACGCGAGGGGTTAATCAACGTCCACGCGCGAAGGGCACCTCAACGAAAAATCGAGATTATATTAAGCTGATAATATTAACTATATATAATATTATATTATTACTACGGATAGTTTAGAGGGGACGACGAAATAAAAAAAAAAAAGCCTCTCAAATTCACTCTTCGATGCGTTTCGCGCAGCGCCGTCGTAACATTGGACGTCCGTCCGAGTACGTAAAAGGCTAAGCGCATATTAAAGGTTCATTATTATAATATTGTAAAAGGCCTTTATATTATATTATTATATTCCAGAATACATCGCACGTTTTATCTTATTAAACGTGTGCGTATAAAAAAAAAAATTAAACAACCCGAGATACTCGCGCGTTAAAATGTGGTTTTAAGGATTATATATTGCACGTAGTCGATTTAGTATAAAAAAAAAAAAAACAACCCGCAGTTACAAAAATAAATACGAAATTACATTTTTGCCTGTACCTACAGACTGGCGAAATGTTTTTGTATGCATAACAATATTATTATTTAAGTTGAAAAATAAATATTTATAAGTTTCAAAGAAAACGAAAAAAAAAACTGATGAATAAGCTGTTGGTTCATATAATGTGAAATTAAAAACAATACGACAAATAATATTATGTTATACGCATGCAGTGTGTCATTACAGTGATGTCATGCATAAATCATGAAAAAATACATTTTTTTTTTAAGAAATATTATTATATACAACACTAAAAAACGTAATAAAGTTAGGACGCACATCATTCGACTAACATGAGTAGGTCGGAAAAATGAACAGGTAGATAAAATGTTGAAATTTCACAATATTGATGCAGAGGCAAGGTGTTTTTTTATCTATGTAAATTTCTACTGGTTCTCCAAATAAAGCAGACATATGACATTATGATGCACGGATACACAGTATGAGTATTAATGATTTACATTTTGGGTGTTTTAATATTCAAACTCGTCCCCAGCCGTTTTTATTTTGAAATTCAATGTTAAACAGGAAATACCGGGTTTAAGTACTCCTATGGACTCATCAAAGTAACTAACGGTGTGAAAATTTGTATATACAAATAGTATTGTTGTCGAAAATGTACCTTTAGAAAGTTTAAATGTTTGTATGTTAGCAAAAGTCTCAAGAATTACTATTTGATGAAACTTTTTGGTTCAATTCCTTGTCATTGCCAGAAATGTATAGGATATGCTTTATATTTGAAAGAGATATAGTAGACTATTAATAGAGGGTAGGAAGTAGACGTGGTAAATAAACGTTTATCGATTAAAAATTATAAATAAAAACAAATCTAATTGAATTAAATTAATTGATAATTAAGTACAAATTCAATATTACTAACACCAATGAGCATATCTGACAACCAAGACTAATTAAAATTAATAAAAAAAAAAATTTAAAAAAAAATATTATATTGATAATACCTCGACTGTGGGAAAATTTGACTTTAATAACGGAGCAACGGAGCTCTGCAGCTCACGGCGATTTAATTTTATAGAAAAATATATTGGAAATGTATAGAATGTTTTTACCGCCAGACGAAAAGGTCTTTCAAAATACTGCGTGACAAATTGAGGCATTTCACTCATGAAACAAATTTTAAAAAAAATTATAACATTTTTGTGGAAAAAGCATTAAGAATTTCAAAACAAATGTTCAAATAAAATACCACCTGTCCACCCAAAAAATGTGCACCGTGGTATAACACACACATACACAAACATATTATTCAAATTATAATGGCTTCTTCGTTACATTTTGAATCTAGAGTAAAAAAAAAAGAAAACACAAAATTATAATTCCATCATTTAATTGAAAGACGACAGCGGGCTTATTTTGGAATCAATCATATTATTGTTACAAAGACGAGTGATGTCAATATGCCAGAACAAATTGCTAAATTTCGTATCTCGTTAAAATAATTGCCTGTTTATATTTATTTATACTTTTTGCTAATCGTTCACCCCCGAGTAAGTATTATAAGCATGCGATAATACCCAAAAAAAAATAAACAATTAATTAATAGTTGACAGCATCATTACAGTATAGATAATATGTTAGTTTAGATTGGGTTATTAAGTTAACCTAACCATTAAGTGCTTATATTAACAGTTAATATAATCACTTAAAAAATCGGTAAAAAGACGGCCTTTACCGATTTATCAGAAAATAGTGAATTGAAACAAAATAATACTAATTATTTGATTCGAATCGACTTACTAATACTGTCCTTTTATATGCATTAGTTTCAAAAATACATTTTTGATATTTTTTAACCTAATACGCAATATTATATGCACGACGAGATTCAGAATATAGTCCCAAAGGACATCGAAGAAGCTTCTATGCATAACATTAAACTGAATCCGATTAGGATCAGGCACGGTAAATACCGCGGGCTGCTTTTATTCCATCAGCTTTGCTTTTTTCTTTTTCTTTTTCTTTTTCTTTTTTTGTCCCCTATCTACGAGTGGATTTATAATACTTGTTTATGCCGTGCCCTTTTCTGTTGACAGATTTCCGACCGTTGTCAGTATTGTTGACGACAAAACCACGAGCCACAAGGAGCTTTTATGCATTAGGATAAAAAACAAAATTCCTCGCGATACAATTGAATAATAAAATAAGAAAGTAGCTAGGTATCGCAATTTCACAGAAATCAAAGACCGTAAATATATGTATGTACCTACATTCGCAAAGGAATCATTTTTGTAATGTTTTGAATGAATAACCGACAAATACTGTTAAAAACGTACATTACTTTATATTATACAAAGTGATAAAGGGAAAACAGTAAACAATTTTAAAATGTTACATTTCCCTATGTCTTATCACTTACGTTTGTAGGTGAAACCACTATTAAAGCTCGCTGTTTTGATTTTTGACGGTTTCAACCCCGACCTTAAAAATGAGAAATAAACATGCACCACCTTTTTGAGGGGGCTTGTTTCTTAAATTATTTAAAGTTAATATGTTCCGAGATAATGAGTGTCTTAAGCTAGATTGATCAGCCGGTAAATTATAATTTATTAAACGCGTATTATTTATACCTATATAATGCATTATACTGGGAAGCGCATACTGTCTCGGTATTATTAAGCTACGGACGTGCCATAAAAATGTATTCAAATTATTTTCTACAGGTAGAAGGTTCGAGTAAAATATCTTCGCAATACACGCGTGTCGAATTACGTTGGAAATAAAAACCTCTGGCAAATTCCATCGTCGATACCACCTACCCTTAAAGATCAAAGTCTAATAATTGTATTTCAACCCGAGGTAAAAAGTTTACTGAAGTACTTGAAGTAAAACTAAAAACGAAAAAAGAAGATATTTCAGGTACATAAAACATCCGTTTACAAATCTTTATAAGGTTCTCTTGTACATACTATGTATTATAGGTACTAAAACCTGAACTCGATAATATACGATACACGTAATACTCGTATAGCAGTGAAAAATATATTTTTATAAAAAAAACAAACCAACAATAATTATAGATGTAATTGTGAATTAGTTTAACTTTCAATTTCATTATTAAGAAATATCGAATGAAAAACAAAATCACAAAAGTTCATATCAATACGTTTTTATGAAATCGGTAAGGCCACGGTGCGCCGTAAACATTTGCCGTTTTACCTATAATTTTCTTACCGGTTTTCCAAATTATTATAGAAACCTCTTAAAAAGTCATAAAGTGCTCTCCACAATGTACCAACTAAATAAAATTTCCTTTCTGAAAAAAAGCTAAACTTGTTACATCGGAGCAAGATTTCTGGTAGAAAAGTGACTCACATACACACAAAAAATAAATAAAAGTAGGTACAAAAAACATAAAAAAAAAACAAACATTATACAAAAACTACTACTAATTTAAAAGTTTAACGTAATGTAGTGGTTTTTTTTCTTTTTAGTTTGTTGTACGCGAACATGTATTCGCCACAGATCATCGTCGCGGTATCACGTTCTTTCTTGACACGATGTTTTTTTTTATAATGCCAATAATATATTTGTTCAAGTGTATGTACTGCAGTGGGTATTGAATTTTATTACATGTGGACAATACGCGTAAAACGTACGTCACATTACTCGTAAATTGTGCTAGACGAAAGCGACAACAAATTGCGAAACTCATGAAAATAGACGACAATAATATTTTGTGATAATATTTATACATCACGAACTGGCGATCGTTTACGAAGATTTTGAGTGGATAATTAAATTGGTAATTTTATTCAGACATGATAGAAATTTCTAAGTCGATTTACTAAATTTTTGAATTGATATAAATTAATTCTTAAATGTAATTCCTAAATGGCGCATATCTGATATAGTGAGATACGCACAACTTTATGTTTGGTTGTTTTGATACAGAGATGAATCAAATAAAAATAGGGATCAACATTTCTGGAAAAAAATGGGATTTTCCGAAAATAGCTAATACAATACCGATCGTAAACTGTCCCGTTTTTCTACGTTCTTTCCCGGTGTTTTCCATTTATTATAAAAACCTAAACAATTTTTTCCTCAGTCCAATTTGTTTTTAAAAAAGGCTCTAAACTTAAAAATCGGAGCGAAATTTCTGAATCGGCATTCAGCATCAGCCTACTATCCAAGTAGCTAGCCAGTCAGCCAGTGACTAAATTGCCCGAGGACGTAATATGCGGAATTGAAGGCGACGGCGAAGGCGATATACTCGGGGCGTGCGGTGCAGTGTCGGTGTACGAGGGGGAATAGACGACAACTATACATGTAGACCAGCGGGGGCGTATGATGGGCTAGCCAACGATAGGCGGGGAAATGGCAGGGGGAGTCGGGGAGGGTTTAATTTTGTCGGCTGGCAAAACTCATTACAAACTAACGAACGCGCCGCCGTGTCTCCGCCGCCACCGTCGTCCGACCTAACCTCCCGTAACATGCAAAGACGTTCCGGAAATCGAAGCTACTACACACCACTATAACACTTCACGACTTACTATAATATATAATAATATATACCTACAGGGTCTTCAAAATGTTGCAATCTTCATATTTTAATACGATAAACCTATATAATACGATATATTTATAATTTATAATACGTATATATTTATAAACGATAAATATATACGATATTCTAAATGAATTTGATATTGTAATTATTAAATTTTCTTATTCGTTAAATAAAAACGAAACTTGAACTTCAAGCAGCGACCTGTATATTATGAAAAATTATTTTTTACGCACAATTTACGGGTATTATGGGATTTATTTTCACGATTTAAACCCGTTCAACAAATTTTCGTTAAAAAATAATCCGTTAAATTTCCCATTTGTAAATAATAATAAACTTATCACATTTTTAAACAGGCGTATATCATAATATATATATATTATATAATATGTAATATTTCTATTCAAAAATGTTTTAACGATAGAGAAATCTAAATTATCTATTATATTAATAAAAGAAATAGAAATGTAAATAAAAAAGGAATAAAAGTTTTTCTACTTGTAGCCAAATTATCGCACATAGAAATCTGAAAATTTGCATAACGAAAAGCAGATTGATGGATCTGTGTAAATCCTAAATAATAGCTAACACAGTTTTTTTTAACGAAAATCGAATTATTTCTGTTGATTTACGGGTTTCTTTAATGACACAGATATCGCATAATAATAATATATCCATAGTAATACACCTTGTATAGTATTTATTATCCATAGGATACACGTTAAATTTAATTTCTTACACTTACTTCGATTAACTTAAAGGTTTTTTTTTTAAAAATTTTACTTTAATTGTACAAATAAGTACGTTGTTGAATAGCAGAGTTTCATCACTATTATAATAGAATTAATATCCACCTATTTTTTATTATAGAACTATTATTTGTGTAAAACAATGCATAACCGAATACTATGCTTCAATTATACTATCCACTTAAAAAATGGCAAAAATTGTAAAAATAACGAGGAAGGGTTAAAAGTTAAATTTAAACTTCGAAAGGCATATTCTTGGTACTAACACCACGCATATAACAAATTTCATTTGGAGAGTCAGTAGGGGTAAACAATGTTAAAAACACCGTCCTTCCAAAACAATATGACGAAATTCGTATTAAAATTCAACTCTGATCCCAGAGTTCGAGCTCATCTTAACCAGAAGGCGTCGTAAAATTTATCCAAAAGAAGAAGAAAACAATGCAGTACAACAGGAAAAATTTTCTTTTCGGAAAAAATTCTCCAAAAAAACGTGGAGATTTTAATTAGCAAAGGCAACGCCACCGGACGGGACAAAAAGTTGCATACTTTATTTTACTTTTGGCCATTTAATGAAAATTTTGATAATTTTGTATACATTCTAACACGTGTATAGTTACATTAAAAATGAAAATATCTACAGTAACTATTATGCGCTTTTTCATTTGGCGGCAAAAAAAAGTATTTAATAAGTCATTTAATCATTATCCATTTAGAACGGTCGTTTAGGCTAGGCTATTAAACAATTTAACCCCATTCAGGAGTATTTTCAAAATGTAATTTGCTTGAAAATTGAAAATTTAACAAAATTAACCAAAGCTTTTCTTTTCCGGGACAAAACATATACTGTAGTGAAATCTACCGTCACGCATAGTGCACGTAAACTTCGTAAATAAGACACCCTGTATATTATTATTATTATATTATGTGTACACCGACTTGTTCGCCCGGCGCGAACAACAGCCACCGCCGTCTGGGTACCGCCCCCTCGCATATAGCAGCTAGTGCGCGTAATTCAGTTTTGCCGAATGTTTGTCCCACGGCCGCGTGCGACATTACAATATAAGTGCCCTGTATATAGTAGGTATACATATATCATTATATTATAATATCAGCAAAGACAAACTTTTCCGCCGCCGCAACACATATATTACATAATAATAATATTATTACTATCGTTGTGTACGATATTAAATTTGTTACACTAATATAGACAATTGTACACAATGTAGGCGCGTGATTTGGTGATGCCGTTTTGAGTTTAGGTACTAGTTTAGCGAACAAACTGTTTTGGTGGTATTATTATTGTTTACTGCAATAATTGTTTGACGACTGGATGCACTTTTCGACAATCAGGTTCTCGAAATCGGCAAACAATATTATTAAAAACTACATTCGCTGTCTTCGGTTACTGTTTATCCATTGGTGAAATACTATATTGTACAGAGTAAACAAAATGTTTTCACGGTATTACAACCAAGTAGAAAATAATGCAGCAAACTATTTGAGTCTAATCAATTTACACCAAAATATAAACGAGATGTGTAATGTACACCAATATTTTTAAATACGTTTGTAATTCATTTTTCAATTAAACATCGAGTTATGTAAGGAAATAAACTGGACATAATTCACACCGCTGAAATAATTGATACGTAGATATAGTGATTTTGGTGGAAATTAAAAACTATGTTTTCGATCATTTGCATTGGTGCACGAAACGAACATTTCTTTTACTACCTGTTAATGCAAATTGTAGATTCCCAAATGGTTACCAAAAACTACATCGCCAAAACATGTCTAATATTATTTAATATTGTCATAATTGTGGATTTCGCCAATAATTCATGGCATAAAAAATGTATTGTAAACAACATAATTTGTAAAATATTTTGAAATTTTGAATACAAGCATTTGTATTTATTATTTATACACAAATAAGTTTTAAAAAAGTATTTGGATACGTATTTCAAATAAAACGTATTTAAAAAATGTGTTTTGAATAAATTTAAAAATTATTATTTACAAGACTATGTGAAACCGAACATGTTCGTCGAACATTTATTTTGATATATGGCCATATTTAAAACTAATTTTATTCATCAATAATCCATAAAATCTTAAATTGAGTTAACTTTAGTTTAACAGATGATTTAAGAACACCCTATATGGAAACGGCTTTTATGAAGAACAGACAGTAGAGTCCAGGCACGGATCCAAAACAATGATCTTGGGGGGCAACAATTTGTTTATAACATAAATACATTTAAAATATAATATAATACATTATACACATTATTTCCCCATACAGTTCTCTTAAAGAAATTGGAGAAATAATATGTCTGGGGGGGGCTGGGCTCCTAGGCCCCCTGGATCCGTTCTCGGTATAGCTGAAAATTTAATAGAGAAAATTGCCATGTAGAATATAGATATGGGCTGTGAATTTTATACTAGGCATTATAGTAATAACGACCACAGCAGAGCAGAAAAAAAAATTAATAGTTGAGAAGACAATAGGTTAAATTTAAGTCCAGCCGTAAAAATGTGTTCAAGTGAAACTCTCGCAAAAATAAAGTATACCTTCATAAAAAAAATATCTAAGCATTAAAACGACCACTATCCTCAAAACGAGTCGGAAATACTACCCTCTATAATATTTATTTTAAGTATCTATTAAAAGTATATTATTTTCATATAAAATCTCTTTGAAGTTTATTTATTTTTAAAAATGTTTGCGTTAATATTGTATTGAATTAACTATACACGTTGATTATTGTATATTATAATTATATAATTACTAATTTATAAATACTATCTTGTGTTTATTAATACCAATACATTTTAATTTTGTTTTTTCAAAATTGTCTTTGTTCAACTCTACTCTATACTTATATATAGAGGCGTTTAACGTCTTCTTACAAATTATAGTAGAAAATAGTATGGATGGTGTGGAATTGTGAATCTGCTGACTTACAAGAAATTACATAAAGTATTTTACAGATGAAGTTTGCTCTCAACTGTTGAACTATACATTATACAGCAATGTATACAATAATTATATTATAATGTATACAGCATGCCGGGTAATAGTATTATGTGTCTTACCAGACAAATAGGCTTTTATTGCGTTAACAAGTCGTTAATACATTAATAAAAGTATAATAAACAGCGGAGTTATTTGCAGTCAACGTATACCGACGAAACATCATAAGCTAGTATATTTTAATTTAATGCAATTATGTGAAATTAATTAATTACTAAAATGTTGGAAAATTTAGGTAAATCATTGAAAACAAAAAATCTAAATTAAGACGAGTAGTATAATTCGTGTTTTTCCCTAATTACCACGAGAACCCGAAAATCGACAAAAATAAAAATAAAATTCTAGGGATGGATTGTAGAAAATACTTAAAATATTTTAAGTGAAGTACTATCAAACCCTCATCTTTATGGATATGACATGAACAAATCAGAATATTTGTATTAACCAAAAAAGTGTTTTCTGAAATTAATAACACACACATCTTAGTAAAAGATTTACAAGATTTGATAAATAATATCAGAATCACAGAATCTAAATACTCGACCGAAATACTCGTATCAATTAATTAATTAGTAAATTAATGACAAGGGAACTATTGTATACACAACTATGAAATACCTATAATTTATGTTTTTCTATACAATTTTCTTTGGATAAAACTTCAATAAAATTTTTAAGATTTAAATAATTGATTTACTTAAAATTTGTTTGAAGAAAAACCCCCCAAAAATATTATTGTGTACTTTTTAATAGTAGTAACCTATCTATAACATACAAATGTTCTGTTCTGTGGATAAATAATTAAAATAAATTTACATACATTTTATGTTTTGTTCACCCTTTAAAATGTATGTCTGCAAAGTGTCATATTCGTTTTATAATATTTTATCGGAGAATAATTTTAATTCAGAGCACGTATGAGAAAATCGCCTTTATCCCCGCACTTAAGGTACAAGCAGAAAAAATGTCAAATAGATCCGTTTATTACAGTCTGACCAGAAAACGACCACTTTGTTCACACGATTTTTAAGGTTATAAAAAATTTCTATAGAAAAAACATACATTTTTATTTTTTAGAAATATATAAGTTTTACCAAAATGCCCGTAATATATTTTTTTCACCTATACACAATTACGTTGACATAATACTGATGGTCATGACAGCTATAAGAAAATTTGATTTGTTTTTTTATAACTATTTGAATATTCTCGCGCATCGTCTTAAAATGTTGTATTAGTAAATCTATATAAATATACCTAATGCTTCAGTAAGCATTATATTTAATTTACATCACGTAACCGGGCTCATTGAAAAAAAAAAAAAAAAAGTTCATTGCAGTGCGTTTGTTCTTATAGTTGGGTTTACGGACTGTAAACACACAAAAAGACGAACCTTTTAGAACGTAAATCTTTCGAAATTGCAAAACTGAATCGTTCGGACATAATGAAATTTGATGGACTTACACACGAAGCCTAATAGCAGAATCTAGCGCACGACAGTCAGCGGGGCAGGGTTAATTCGTCCGGATATCACTAGTATTCACATCACGTTTCGCCCCAGGGACCAACTGATGAGTTTACAAGAGTTTTCTCCTACTATAAAAACACGAGGTCGCAGAGCATATATGTAGGGAAAGAATGAAAAAACTTTTAGCTCCCGAATGAGTACAAAGAATGCGACTCTACATATACGCACGTACGGTTAAAACATACCAACTTTCGGTTTTCTAAAGAATTTAATTCGTCACTAAAACTGACAGAAATTTCTTAAGTTGTCATAATATTATTAATATGCGAAGATACTACTATACGTGCTATACAATAGCAATATTGCTATACAACACAGCAACATTGCTAGCAATAGCAATGCTATACAATTATCATTCATTTAATATATAATGTAGTAATATTATATTATAACAAAAATAAAAAGTACATTGATATTAGAACACGGTAGGTATTTACTCGACACTCGCATATATTTATATATATATATATACAGAATGATTCATTAAACATGTTTAAACGATGTTTAAGGGTAAATTATACGTACTTGCAAATTTTAATTTTGAGACTTTTTAAGTGTAACTAAAAACGATATTTTCATACATTTAGATTTTTCAAAAAATTTCAGGAGTATTCTGTTGACAATACCAAATTTGAATTTTAAACATCAAAACTTATTTTAACTTACTCCATCTATTAAAGAAATTTTTAGTGTAGCTAAGTTTTTATTTGAAAAACCTAAGTTGGTATCGCTACATGGCACTCCTTAAATCTTTTGTGAAAAATCTAAGTACACAAAAATACCGTGTTTAACTACATTTAAAAATTCCAAAAATCAGAATTTGAATATAATATGCATAATTTATTCTTAAAAATAATGTGGACACGGTGCATACTTAATGAATCACTTTGTAAAACTTTAAATAAATGGAATTGGTTCTTTTAATTATATAACAAGTGGATGGAGTAATTCAAAATTATGTTACACGAATTATTCGAAACTAAACATTTTTTTACGGCTCGATTTCCAGACTTAATTGGTAGCAATATTTTAATCAAGAATAACTCTGTTTGAAATTTAATAATATTTAAAAATATTAAACACATACACATATTTATATAGATTTAAATTTTAAACTGTTAGAAAACGCAGTGATGAATGTATGGGGTGGCCAAACAATGGAAATGGAGAACGGGTAATAATGACGTAGGTACGCTGAAGATACTGTGGTAATGGAAGAGACGAGAAATGAAGTTGTAAATACAACAACCAAACTTCTAAAGGAAAGTAAGGTCATCGGTTTGTGTGTGTATTTAATGGTAGCAAGAAGAATTTAAAACATAGACTACACAGCAGTTGACACCTATAGGTTTGGAAAAATGGATGTATTTAGGTACCTATAGGCGTTAATATAAATAACAACAACCTAAACGGTGTTACCATAGTTTTATGAAACTACTAAAACCGAAGATACTATCACGCAATTTAAAAGTACTCCTTTAACATAATTATCTAAGAATTTCGATAACATATGCGAGCGAAACCTGGTCACTGAGCAAAAGAGACAGCAGACGTCCAATTACCCACAAAAAGAAAGTACTAAGAAATAAATATAGCCCAAGCTGTAATACAGTCTTAGATATACGAAAGAAGGAAAAATCAGAACTCGCAGAGGCTATATAACAACCAAATATTCTATCGTTTATAAAAAGCAAACATTTAGAATAGTTTAGACATGTTTGAAGAGCAGATGATCAATTAATAAAAAAAAGTTCTGATTAACAAAATTAACAAAGGCCGACCAATAAGAAGTCCTAAGACCCGCTGAATTGACGTTGTTGACCAAAATATAAAAGACAAAACAAGTTTGAATGTGGAATACGACAGAAAAAAGATGGAGAGGACTCGTGATAGCTGTAATGGATCTTAATGGACCGACCAGCTGAAGAAGAGAGAAAGAGATAATTTTAAGTTAACTATTGTAGTCCATTTGCTCTAGTGATAAAATATACATAAACTGCAGTGGCATTGCCAGGGTGGGCGGAGTGGGATATAGGGGCTATGGACCGTATTTATGTATGTACACTATTTTACGATTTGCGTGTTAACTACGTTTCTAATTACCTACCTAGGTACTTCTTTCACTACTGAAAGATGCCTACATAGAATACTACCTATGATACTATATTGCACGTTACATAATACTGCCTATACTATATTATTGTATTATTGATTTACGAATGAAGTCAATAAAAACGTTACACGAGTCCATAATAATATACGAGTGTATACTTTAATAAGGCTTCCCGCTGTTGGTACAACATTAATTAACCAACGTGTGTATATAGGAAACGACCGCGAGCGCATAGAAGCAAATATAATATATAAGATCGTATACCTACCCCCGTTAGAACTTAGAACCCCGAGTATATTCGCGACCCCTTCATTCAATTCGTTCCCCTGTTTATCGGCAATATCGACATAATACAGGTATAAACTGCGTAAAGTATAAATTATATTATACACATACACACGTCTCAACCCACCTACGTACAGACTAAAACGGAGACACGCAGACAATAAAACCGAATTTGGCGGGAGCTTGGCAGTGCTCCGCCGTCGTCGCCTCGTCCGAGGCAACAGGCTTATAACCAGACGATCAATAATATTATACCAGCAGCCGTCTGCGCCGCCGGCGATTATACGGTCTGGACACATACCGTTCCTGTATACAGATTTTTTTTTTCTTCTCTTTTGTATACGTTTCGTAAAAAAAAAAAAAATAAAAAAGATAATACTCGGTTTTGGCACGCGGCGACTATACGAAGACTATAACCCTCCGTATATATATATAAAAAAAAAAGCTGTCTTTGCAATGTACACGTCATAAAGGAGAATGAGAGTTAACGAAAGAGCACGAAGTAGGCGCATTAGAGATTCTCCTACACCTCCCTCGTATTTCACGGGGTGATTTGTATTCGGATGTGAGCAAAACGACATAATAATAATGTACGACTATATACTGTCGCCGCGTTTCCCGATAGAAACGATACCTTTTGATATTCTCGTCTCTCGACGTTATTATTGAACGCTTCACAAAAATGACCCTCGCCGTATACATAATAACAGTATTACAAGACTCGTGCCTACACACGTCTGCTAGTGTCAGAAACAGTTTCTCGTGCGCCGTAAGATTATAAGTTGTATGAATCGAGAGAACACAATATTTTACCCCGCGTCCGACACGAATATAATAATATTATCGTGAGAAAAATGTACCTGTATAATATTACATTTGAATAATATCGATCACGAGGCTAAAGCCGTTCATTTCACGGGATGTTATAAAATATATTTTACGAGATATTATTCTTTTTCGAATGGAAATGTTGTATATGCTTACTTTTATTGAATCTTGATTTATTTTTTGATTCTGAAACAAAGAAAAATAATTTTATTAAAAAAAAAAAAAAAAAAATGAAAACCATTAACAAAATTTATGTAATTGGAAATTTGAATGCAGTTATATTATATGTATCATCATAATATATAACGAAAGAATTCGCAATTATTAAAAGATGTTTGTGTTACAAACTAGCGTCTAAAATATTTACCGCGGACTTAATGAAAAATTATGTATAAACGTTGTTTTTTATAATCCCGATGAAAGTTCGTTATTATATTAAGGTGATTGGAACATGCTTATTTTTCATGAGTTTTAAACATATTTATCAGTGAAAAATTTGAATTTTTAAAGTAGGTATACAATTTTTGAAAAATGTTCTGTAAACAAAAGGTTATACCTATAGCAATTTGATTTTCAATTTTCATTGTTATATAATAATTGAAAATTCCGTAAAATAATTACATTACATTGTTTTGAATACGCCAAATTTTAAATCGAAAATTCGACTACTTTAATAACCTAAACAATTTATCAGCTATGCATATTTGCTAAAATATAGGTATTATACAGAAACAATATAATATTCGTCCTTAAAGATGACCATACTTATTCCCCTTAAATAGATATCGGACAGTGGATAATTGAAAAAGTACAATTATTACACGGTGGTCATGAAAAGGTAAAAAATAATTTTTAAATTTCACAAATTTGGAGTACATTTTGGAAACTTTCTCCAAAACACTTAACTAAAATATTTCCTTATAACTTTATAGTTTATGTTTAAGTATAAATAAATTACAAGTCTATCTTTTGTACCAAAACAATATCAAAAGTAAGTATTAAATGCACTCCAAATCGAAATACATAAAATATATTATTAATTGTATAGACGTGCACACATAATAATTAAAGAGGTGACGTATAGGCAATTACTACGAAACATTAGCAAAAAAGAAAATAATTTATCAAACCGTAATTCATATTAACTTAAAACGGTCGTTTACTCGAGATTTATATTCTTTCCGCGTATTTTAAGTAGGTATTGCTACCAACATTTCAGAACACGTATTTTAGAGAAGAACTTTGATGTGTCTGGATTCCTAACAGTTTTTACCAAAGAACCGATGGACCGAAGACCCGGAAACGGTCTATTTACTTATATATCATATCATCTACACTATACACATGTATTTATTTTTCGAAATAAACTTAAAAATAACACTTTTACAACGCTTTCAAACATTTTCTGAGAAGAAAAAAAATGAAATAATAACGTTATCGAGTAAACACGATATTTCGGTAATTAAATAATGCCTTTTTACCTCTGCAGACCGTACCTACCCCTTTATGTTTTATACCTGTGACTTTTAGGAAATAATTTGAATTTATGTGGTTATTAAAATAATTAGAATTTATCGTATAGAGTGATGGAGGTAAAAAAATAAAATAAAAAAACAAATAATAATAATGAACAATAACGTTAAAGGCTTGATGTTTCTAACAAATTATAATACGAACTTATGAACAATATCGCATCGTTATTATATCGCATTATATTATAATAATTTAACGCGATATATTATTACAGATCTGGGTTACCGCGGTTTGTACTGGTATTCTAAAGTTATTACACGATGTATATTACACTGGATTTAAATAAATGTTTACAGTTTGCTGAGAAAATAACGCACGCGCACCACCGTGTGGGTACGGTCTAAAAGTTTAGACAAATGAATATAAGCTACCTAATTACGATTGCGAGTCGACCGCCACCGCACTAACGAAAAAATAATAATTTAAATGTCACGCTATATTATTATGTAAAGTGCTACGCGGACTTGTGAGTAATGCTTGACGCGTTCTCTCGCGTTCTCTCTATTTTTTTTTTTTTATTTTTTATTGCCCAAAGTTATTAAGTTATACTTAAATCGATCTCGCGGTCGGTTTATACGATGATAATAATAATATTGTATAGGTATGTAGAACGTTGTAATACTAATTGTACACTGTGTAGTCTGTGATAATTCTACAATAATGTTATACAATTATGATAAAGTTATAAATATAAAACAACTAGATAGCCAATTGTATGATGGAGTACCGGAGTCAAGAGATGTAAAGGTAAAATAAAATTTAAAAAATTGACACACCGCTGTTTTGGGTAGGAAGTTGGGATGGTAAAAATACATAAGGTTATTTAATTTTTATTTGTATAGAACGATAAACCATTGCTAACCAACAACAATTTTGAGCAAAGTCCGGCTGTACAACTTTTGAAACATCGTAATATTTAGGAATTTCATCAAAATATAATCTTAAAACTACAAATTACTACTTTCGTGACGTAAATTTGTTAGTTTTCTTTTTACTATTTTTTCTCTGTAATTCCCAATTATTGTAAAATCTTCTAAGAAAATCAAAAAAATCTTTAGGCGTCAACTCGATTTAAAATATAACAGAAAAGTTACATTGTCATTTTTCAATTAGAGCAGGATTTCTGGTAGAAAAGTGGTTTATAAACAGAAAAAAAAATACACACACACACATCATAATAGTTTAACGAATAGATACTTCGTTATGCATATAGTATCTAAAATAGTGGCACATTCGTTCTTTTATAAATCCCTTATAATATGAAGGTTGATAGTCATATTATTATACTTAGATAATAAATTTCATTGACTATCCAATAAAATTATTATATTTTGTTTATGACGTGAACTATGAAATAGTATCGGAAACCAAGCTAGACTCACACATATAACATACTGAATTTGTAATATAGTTATAAGAGTTGACGACGTCATTGTCCACCATTTTTTTCGGAGAGAATTATGATGATACGATCGATTAATTAATTAATTAATTAAATTAATACATTATAGTGCTATACATATATATATATGTATAAAGTAGTCAGTAATAATGGTAAAATTAAAAATGGTTAGAGGAAAATACGACCAAATACAAATATAACCAAATGCGAAACAATTTAATTAAATTAATTTTTTTTAAATATATGATTTTCTCCGTGGTTTTTTTCCGTCATTACTATCTAGACTCATATCAGTCGTATTTTTATATCAAGTCAAATTAAATTATAAGTAAAATCGAAGAAGAAACATAATGCCATACTGTATTATTTAGATTAGCAGACAAGATACACCTTTCTCTTAATAGATATACTTTTTTTTTATAAATTGAGTACCCATAAGTGAGCAATGCATTATTGCCTAGTTATGATTACGATTATTTAAAATATTCTTTAATAATTACAGTATGGTTAATTATAATTAATAATATTAATAATATTATACACAAATAATAACATTAATAAATTAATAATAATAGCGTGCTTCCAAAATAATATGAACAATGCAAACCATAATAATTCATACTTCATTGAACTCCGGCCCGAAATAAGCTCTTAAAACTTTACTAAAGTAATTCTTTATAGTTTTTGCAATTAGCATCCAGAAACTTGGGTGTTCCCGACGTGTTTATTGTGGCCAACTCTCGAGTCGTAGAGACGGGCAAGAATCCCCCTCGGGTCGTGTTTTAACAGCAGTTTATATACCATTCTTTATAAATCCTGTGGACAAATTCGACCCAATGTGGTAGTGCAACTTTTGGCCGTTAGTAATCGTTTGGAGGTTGTTTTTTTTTTCCTAGGGGCAAACAAACGCCATTTGTCACGTCGACAAAACGACGAAAACGTTTGAAGTTAGGATGCATTTTTTCGCTCTCTTCTTTGGGATACAAAACAACACGACGAAAACTAAACGGTTTTTTTTTTTGTTTCGTTTTGTTTTAAACACAACATTTCTAAACAAAATGAATATACCTCCATACTTTTTTAACAAGGTTTTTTTTTTTTTGTTGTTTTGTTTTGTTTTAACATTAAACGACGGTGTAAATTTTACAACTTGAATAACATAGTGAATTATTGCGGCAAACCTGTAGTTTTTATTTCTAAAAAATATAATGGCAATTTTGTTATCACCATTTAATTGTCTTATAGGGACCAATATATTATTATGTTAAAAACCACGAAATAATAAAATTGAACTATGTCTATAATAATATATATACACAACGTAAACAAGTAGTTACGAGAGACAGCGGTCGACTAACAACGATTTTATAAAATTATGGAATGTTGTCCATATAGATAATATTAATCTAAATGTATTTTATCCAAAGGCCGGGAAATGCGAGCTTTATCGCGAAAAATAACTTTTCTACGATTGTTTATTCGTCTTTGAACAGTGTAAATCAAAAAACACGTATACAATACGTGGCATATAATATGACATATAAGTATATGACCTTTTATAGCACTTAAAAGCTACATACTGCTAAAATACGCTTTAAAAATCAAAAACTGTAATACACTCGTATACAAAATAAAATTCAGGATTTAGATTCTTCATATCATGAACAATACTCCTGTATGACTCAGGTATTTTATTAATCTTTTTAAAAAATATATGCAAATGCTAGAAGTTTCTAACCCTATGTATTACTATACACAAAATTATTATATAATCAAGCACGTACGAGCTCACCGAGTTACGGGAAATTTTCCGAACACGGCCCTTCTACGCATCATGTAGGCTCAAGCTTTCTTTATAAAGGTTCTATTAATATTTTAAATACGTTAATTTTATATTAATAATAATAATATGTATTATACTCAGATCATGATCGTAAAATCATGAATATAGTATGGAAATTGAAATCTGTGAACACATATTATAAGAACTCTTTTCTTTTTTTAATAAATTAGTGCAGCGAAAGAGAATTTTTGTGCGATATTATGTCAGAAGCATTCAATTTCTTTTTCGTACAACTTCAGTGAAATCCTAAAAGAATGTTGCAAATTTTATTTTAGATTCTGGGCAAAGTTTTACTATGATGTGTTTTTTTTTCAATCAGATATCTTTTTCCAATCTCATAAACTTCTAGTAGGAAATGTTATCAATTTACTGCATTAAAAAGTTAATTTTTGTTTTTTTTAATTTCTCGTTATAAAGAGGGGGGGGTTAACCGGAAAAAAAATGTCGGTAAATGTATAATACAATTTTGTGTACTATACTACTACTACTGCTACATTGCTCGTGTTATATTGTACGCATTTTCTATTTATGTGAATATAACTTTGCTCGTTTGGCTCTATACAAATGCACAAACCTTTTTGTCAGTTTCGTCATATATTGTATTTGTACGAGTTATACCGGGATTGAAAAATAAGTGTTAGGATCATTTTCATACCATTTTCCGGTATGGAACGATGAGGCGCCTGCGGTATTTCGAATATTCCCGCGTGTCTCCCTGTCAATAATATTCTAAGTGTTTTATTTATTTTGTCTTCGCGCAACAAAATAATATCCATTCAATTAAACTATTCGAAACAAAATAGTTGTATAATGTACGCTTTGTCTAATATATTATGCGTTTTGCGCGCGCGAACGCCCGTTTGGGAATCGGTTTCATTTGACGGTCGGTCGAGTTCGAGCAATGTGTTTATAATCCGCGTTCCGGCGACGCATCGTACAAATTAAATTTTATCCTTATGAGGGTGGAGAGGGTAGGTCGGAGTGGTTGGAGTGGCGCGCATCCCTTTTTTGTACACAGAATACGATTTGTGCTAGCCTAGCTGCTATACACTGCTGGTACTGCTGCAGCAGGCTTAACCGAGCCGGAAAACTTCGTCAGCGTGTCCTATAATACCGAAAACGTATGCCGCATAAATATATTCACGAGCGTGATGGTACCTATACGCACGAATTTATAACAATAACATATATATTATCATATGATGGCACACAACATAACCATACTCACGTACATAATATTCGCGTGAGCCACGGCCGGGTTACGAAAGTCTACAACGTAGAGTCGGTCGCGGGAGAGAGATTTCTCTACAATAATAATAATAATAATAATAATAATATTATTTCCTCGCGAAATGTCCCCCCTCCCATAAGTTTCGCGTGCCGACCTTTTTTCCCGAACTACCCGATGCTGCCGCAAGAAAGGCCGGCCGTATATAAAACGAGCACGGGCATTATTTTTGTCCGACATGATATGAACGCGCGCGCACGGCTTATGACGACGACGGCGGCGGTACAAGGAGGCGCTGCATGAAGGGATTTCCAACCAGATTTATAAAGCTCGTACGTATATGGATATAATATACAGAGTATAATAATATCCTCGGCTCGTAATTCGACATCGTGTACGTGACGTTGGTGATTTAGATCCGACTCTCGACTCGGACAATACGGATTGTGCTGATAATAAAAAAATGATGTATATCTACTAGCTGCGGCAGGACTACGAAACGCCGCGACCGCCGAATCGTTTTGTTCCGAATTACCTGACTACTCGAAAGACAACGCGATAAAATATTATCATTATTATTGTTATTTTAGTGAATAATATTATAGTATGATGAATTGCCTGTGCACAAAGATCTACACAGAAATGGACTGATAACAGAGATAGGAGAAGTCCGAGACAGAAAAAGAGAAGTAAATTTAAAAACAAAGATAACAACATGAATAGTTGGAAAGAAAATAGCGTTTACAGTTTAGGTCCTATCATACCCATAGTCCCAATTATAGTTTATATATGTTCAACACGGTTGTAGATATTACCGTTCGTTGATATTATACTGGTCACACGACTGTATTAAAGAAAAATTTGTTCTTCTTGAGTATCTACGTAAATGTATGTAGAAAAAGCACTTTCAGTTGGATCTAAACAGAGATCTCATTTTACCAACAATTGCTGAATACCAAAGTGTTCCGACGAACGACCAGTATCGGTGGGAATCGCACAATTTTGATATTTTAGCATGTTACTCAATTACTAGTAACGAAATTGCCCACTTTGATCGCTCAGTGAACGTTCTCTATGCATTTGCCATAGACCATAATCCTGGGAAATTAGCGACGCTATTTTTACTAGTAGACTTCATATTGCAGTTGTGTAACCAGTACAATCTATAAACGTCGTTTTCAACAATATTTGGATACCAGCAAACATAAAGCAGAGTATGGGAATGTAGTAAAAAATTAATGAAAAACCGTTCAAACGCAAAAATTGTTGGATCTAAAGACTAAAGTATTAGACTATAAGGCCGTTTCACTATTAATACATATGTCTTCTGTGAAAAAATGCATAAACTACTACAGATTTTAAAATATCTCCAATCCACGTCTGTGCCGGATACCTGATATTATACCTTAATAAATGTGAAACGAAGAAACCGCATTCGTATGGCAAAAATCGCAATTGTCTGTGTACGATTTGCGTTTGAAATCGGCACTCGAGTTTACAGCAGCACAAACGTAAATTGTATAACTATACAGTGAAAAACAGTGGTAGATCGTGCTATTAAAAATAAAAGCCTCGGAGATGAGGGGGGAGATGTTAAACTGCAGACATATCAAACACGGCGAAATCGGTTTTATCGTGTGCGTCATCCGGGCACATCAACCACATCTTGTATAATTCCCGATGCCAACCTTCTTTATTAGAGTGTGTTGTAGCGAATTGTATCAACGGTAAAATGATGGTCGTGGTTAGGGTGAAACGGAAGAGGGAAGAACGAACAAACAAAAGAAAACCTACTTGAAAAATGCCCTCGAGGAATCTTTTATACACAGTCAAGTCGCACCGTTATAATATTATACGTCGACACATCCGACTAACCGAGTGACACGCGCCTATATACTATATAGCCACGTGCCAAATAATATTTTCGTCAATTTAATAACATAATTACTTACCGTTGACCCGTCAGCAAACTTCGTGGACCGTGACAAATAATAATATTCCGCAGCGCCAGACCGAGGTTATTTTATTATAAACAACTTTCTCAGACCCCACGGTATTGTCACACTAGAGAAGATGGCGGCTAAAGGTAAGTAAAAAAACACGAAATAAACTCGCCGTGAAAAAATGTCGTACGTGAACGATAAAAACGCTATTTAATTTTAAAAAAACCGTTGATAATTTGTTAGCGGAAAAACTCTACAGTTAATTTAACTTCCTCCTAATTATTTTCCCATTTTCTACTTAAGACTTAAGAGTTAAGATATACGGTACGTCGTATTATTATATGTTTGATCGATACAACTGTAATTATAATATAAAAAAAGATATGAATTATAGCATATCTTCTACAAAATATTCGATAATAATAGCGTTAAAACTTACAATAATTATTTTCAATGGTATTAACTATCGTTTTGGTTTTTTTTCCTTTTTAAAATTGTTTAAGTTTACAATTTCTTTTGTTAAACGCTATCCATAGATTGTATCCATAAAATTATCAAAAACAAGCAGACACGGTATATTTTATACACAATATTTGTGAATTCTTTAAAATATTGCCAATTTGGGTATTCATATCTCGTCGACATAATCGTAAAAAACGCATAAGTAATTAAATTCCTAAGTATTCATTTGCTCGGCAGAAAAAAATGTTTAGTGGTATCATAAATATTCCATTATGTTAAGTATAACAGCTATTTCAAGTAATATTATATAGGTACATTTTACAAATAAAAGAAAATATAGGTTAGATTAGGTTAATGTACATACCTTATACGCTTGGCATTAATTTTATCATGAGACTAAAAAAAGCAATTACAGTTATTCAAACGTAAAGAATAACCGTCTTTGGGCGTGGTAAAAACTAGTGTTCCCTACTTCACGTTTACGCGGAAAAAAAAACTTGTTCAGAAATTTGTTTTAAATGTATACCATCCTTCTCCGAACGATTCGTTCAGGTTGTGTCACCCCATATTTGTTTATCAGATGTTGTCTGGTATTTGGAAGCCGAAAGCTTCCTGTATCGCTCAACAGACGTGTTAATATAGGTACACCTAAGGTACATGTTATTATTTTAACGGACGATCAAAATATCATATATAATAATATAGTTTAAAACATTTCGCACACAGACATCACACGCTGTTGTACTGTTATATTATAGGTATATTATTTTATTTTATTTTTTGACGGCATAAGGTTATACGTGTCATTTGGACAGTTATAGGATGACATTTACTGCAAAGAAACGGGGACAACGACGGCGACTGAGAATGTCCTATAAAAACATTGTAATCATAATGATGTCGGGTGTGTTTATATATATATACACTTAAACATAATGGGTCGTTTTCCGAGTCATAATAATAATAATAATGTTAAAACCGAAAGTCAGCACGGCGTTAAGTATTATTTGCGCTTATTGATTAATATATGCATAAGGCGAGCAGGACACGTTTATGGACCGTTGGGTTTTAAACTCCGCACTTCTCGCAGTTAATTTAATTAAATCCCCGTGTACACTGTATTCCAAAATATATACCTGCTAAGTATAATATCTCGGGGTAGTGTTTTTATACGAATATATAAAATTAAATTCTATATATACAATTTTATTATATAGTAGGCATTACGTAAAAAGGTGCACGGTCTAATGTTTCTGCGTAACATGAAAAAAATGACGATAACTACAAAAAGGCCTATAATTTTATTACTATTATTATTATTATAGTGTAGTGGTAGTGAATAATATTCAAAAAAAAATGTTTTGTACCTTTTTTTTTTCTTTTAATTCTGAGTGAAAGGAAAAGTTATCAGTTTTACTGAGACTTGTTTTTTTCTCGGAAAACACTTCAACTCGTCACTTTAACCACATAACTCGTCAGAATTTGCGCGGCGTTCCCAACCACTTCTGACCGAGCTACACATACCAAAATTACATTAATATTTACACATAGTCAGTCGGTCAGGCCGATTGAGCGTGACCGTGGTGTACGCGAAGTACGAGTATTAGATGTCCGGGTGAAGCGTGCTTAAATTAGACGCCCCCGGTTCAAACACTAAGCGATTTGACAATTATAGACAATTTTTGGAAAGAACATGGACCATGGAAAATAGATTGCGTTAACCAAAGTGTAAATTTGTGTTACGGAAAAAAACGTACCCAATTCATAGGTCAATTCTGCTATTTAAAGTAGCCTGATCGAAGGATCAGACACCCACATCACTAGATACATTTTTTCGCTCTATCAGACAGTGTAACGTGATCCCGAGTATATTACCTTGTACTATTTTTGTTATTCAGTAGAATGAATGACGCACTCCAACCATTCGATGATATTACTTTGGTTACGTAATAATAAGACACGACTACCGTTCAAGTTTATAGGGAGAAAACTAATCAGTTGTGCTTTAAACATCAAACAATCTATCTATTAGTAGCAGGAAAAAATAGACATCTTTTTAAAGTTATTTAGTAACAAGTCAATGAGAAAATTATGTAAATATTTTTACCAAATATAATGAGTTTTATAATTTTATTTCTCAATCTAGAAAGTTTTAAATTACTTAATCATTTTTACCATACATGGGCGGGTATTTAAATTTATTCGCTGTAAGATAATTTTTATATTTTGTGAATATAAATAGAAAAAGAAAAACATAGATAAATTTTAAATTTTCAGTTTTTGCTTCACAACCAAAAAAGTTTTAAATTATTTGATCATTTTTAATATACGTAAGTAGGTAATCAAATTTTTTCAGGTCAAATGCTAACACTATAGTAGTGTTATTTCTTTTACTCACTGATTGATATTAAACTAAGATATTTACATAGTAAATTTTTAATTATCATACATCATAACTTATGTGATTATAACCGAAATAGCGCACATCTATCTGTTTTAATAAATACCAGAATCTATGCATTGGTTACCTTTTTATAATAACCCAATAGTGTCAATACTGTACATTTTAGTGAATGGAATAAATGTTCCTTTCAAGAATTGTTCAATCGCTTAGAATTAAACCACAATTAAAAAATTATACACAATCTCCAATGTCCAGAAATTTGAAACCGACCCTCACATAATGGAAATTTGTTTCGATAGTATGGAGTATATATTTTTATGAATCATAAGTTTTCAGTCTTGATGCAAATGTGATAAACCTAAGATATTTCAGATTTCGACTATGATAAATTTAGAAAATCGAATATTTATTTTGATAAATTCATAATGAAAAAGAGGATCTACTTCGCACGACGAGTGAGTCACTGTTGTAAGTGAGAAGTTGGAAAGGTAGGATACAAGAGGAATTTAATATATATCTGTACGCAATGATAAACCATTGCTAACGAAAAACGATTCGGAGCAAAGTTTCTTTTATACATTCACAAACAGTTTTCAATTTTTCTTTCATTTTTTTCACAGTTTTTCCCAGATCTTATGAAAACAGATTGGAAAATCCAAAAAAAGCTTCCCTAAAGTACCATTCAGACAAAATTTTTTTTTAAGAAGATACTAATAAACGAAGACTGAAAGTATACTGAAGATACTATAAGATACTGAAATTAAACGAAACGTCTTTGTACGATTTGTCACTATTTACGATGGATGAAAACTTTATCGGAGAATATTTCATGTTCTTTCTATGAAACTTTATTTCCTGTTCTACTCTAGCTGACTCTACGTTTGTTTATACTTTTCTTTTGCTTATTCTGACTAAACTCAGTGTTGTCTGAGTAGTTGATGATAAATCATTGATATATTATGAAAAAATTATTGATGTAAAAAATTTGATCCAAAACTTTATTGACGTTGTATTATTATAGACCGAAATGACTGTTATTAAACGGATAAATGCCTTGAATATTTGACGAGCGGTGCTTAAATAATGAAATAATTTACCTATGCCGTTAGAAGAATACAATTTAATGAATTGGATTTAGTTAAATTCAATTAAATTAAAACATATTAATATGTTTAAAATATTAAAAAATAAAAAGATACCAATAACTAAGAAAAATAAAAACTAAAAAGAAGCCAAATTCATGTTTTTTATGTTGCGTCCTACTGCACTGTATTCAGAACAAATTTACACTATTTACTTTTAAATGTTTAATTTTTATTCTTATAAACGTATTGTTTATAAGACGAGTATACTCTGAAAAAAAATATGTAATTGGTGTGTATTAAAAAAAAAAAAACTCTTATAAAATACCTATCAAAGAACAGACAAGAGTTCTCTTAGAAACTTTAAAATACCAGAAATGGGAACAGAAATATTGATTTTTTTTGGTTATTGTTTAACATTTATCTTAAATAAATATTATTGTTAAGATCATTTAATTAATATTCTACTGGTTACTTTGCATAAGTTATACATATAAAAAAAGTAAAACAATATAAAATTTCTATCACCGAAAAAAGCAAATGAAAACAGTTATGAATAAATACAAAAACTCGCGGTCGAGAAAGTTTTCAACTTGTATTTACTTCAATAAATTGTTATTTTTACATAGGGTGTGCCTATGCAACTTAGATTTGACTATATACTGCAGATTGCTAAATAAATATTATGTTTAAAATTTCGACAACTAACTAAACATTGATGTTTAAAACCACCAATTATAAAAATAAATAAAAAACTTAAACCTAATATTTACTAATTAAATACCTAGATAAAATACAAACCCGAGAACTAGTTGAAGACCAGAAAACACTGAAAGGTGTATACATTTCTTGTAATTTAAAAATGTCCACAGTTTAACTAGAAAAAAAAATTCACAAAGCCGTTACATATTATTTTCATCTTTGTTAACGAAAACGATTACCTATAATAATCCGATTTTATAAAGTAACCATCATAAATAAAGCAATTTATAAAATAATTTTCTTATAGCTGTGATGTAATATTTATGTAAATTTAAATCTCAGAAGTCTACGGACCAAATAATCAAAAAAAAAAATCCATGTATAATGTATATCCACTTTGTTTAAACATTATATGAATACATTACGAAAATATTATCATAATCGAACTCCATGATTATTATACCACTCATTTAAGAATGGCCGTATATTTTGATTACACGAATAATAATATGATAAATCATAATATGGCTTGTCAAAAAATGGTCGGTGTAGCGTAGTATTTTACCGTAAAACGAGTTACATCGTGTAACTATCGTCGTTTGAACCTTTGAACTATTCTGAAAACAATTATCATATATAATCAAAGCATGTGTGACATTTGATAGTTACTATCGTGATAGTAATGGTTTAACTACCTACGCATGTGAACATATACTATCTTTACATTTTCACAGAAGTTTCTATCTAAATTAAGTTTACCATCATATAATTTTTACTGTCATTCCACTTTATATTTTACGGTGACATAGTGGAATATTTGTTACTTCATGGGCGCTAATGACACATTAAACACATTTATTGAACACAATTTATCGATATATTATTGTTTACGGATACATTTGTATAACATTAAAAAAACAAATTACTACTGAAATTCCAATCTACCTAATTACGAATGATTACATGTGTTCCACATCATGTTTCAAATCATACCTTACATTCGGACTTAAAAATTCATATCATTTAATAAGCATCCAAAATCTCCTACCAATTATTCCGTGCCCGTCTTGCAAACCACTCAAATTTAATAATCTTTGCTCTTTACTCTAAATCTATCCCAGGAAACTCACCTAAAAGGTTAAAGAGAAACTGGAACCGTGACATAAAATAAAACTAATCCTCTGTAGTCAGTAAGTGTTATCACTGGGCGATTGCTTCATCAGGTCAATCAAGCCAATACAAATTTTTACCCTCAAACATCCTCATTGTAAAAATGTATTTATAAACTGTATGTATTGAAAATACAATTTTTAAAAAAAAGACGTCTTAGGATAATGGATACGAGTGCAGCCACTGTTATAGGTAATTTAATGTACGAGTATCTGTAAGTTACGATAAACCATTGCTAACGAAAATACGACTGAGAGCAGTTCAGTTGATAGTGATACGTTGTCAACAATATATATTATGTTATATTATGGTAAAATAATAAAATAGGCATTATATATTTATTTGAATAATATTTGTTTAATATTGTACCAATTTTTACATTTTTTCTGGTTTTCCTTTGTTTTTTCCCGGTTTTTCACATTTGCTGGGAAAACTCTTGAAAAACTGAAAAATGACTTTCTTAAAATACCTTCCCCATCCGATTTCCTCTCAGAAAAAGTGCTATTATTGTAAATCAAAGCAAAATTGCATGTAGAAAAGTTGTTCAAAGGAAAAAAGAAGGCCGAAATATTTTTCAACTAATACCTACATTTCGTATATTTTTCGTTTTCCCTATATTTTATCCCAGCTTTTCCTATATATTATAAAAACCGCTTGAAAAATCAAAAAATAACCTCCCTAAATTACCATGGAGATAATATTTTTTTTCGGAAAATGAGCTACATTTGGTGTATTGGAGCAAGATTTCTGGTAGAAAAGTTTGCACAACAAATCGAAGAGTATTTTACGATTAAAATTGTCCGAGCGAGCGATGGCTTGGGTATACCCAAAATGCATTTGTTTTTCCTTATTTAAGTATAAAGGGAAAAATATGGAAACAATATTTATTCGACACACTGATTCGAACTCTGAACCCCTAGGATTAAGCATAAATAACCATAGCATACATCACGAAAAATATGTTTTTACATAGATAATACAGAGTTATTTAACATAACATATAATGTACGCATACTATCAGAATTTCAAAAAGCTACAATATCGAAACTTAGTAGGTCCGCTTAATTCTGACTTCACCATCGTTATTAAATCGGTAATATACATATAGATATGTTCAAAAAAAAAAAAATTGAAAAATTAGATTTGTTCCACATAATTTTTTACTCAAACAATTTCCGTTAAAATTTGATATTAAAATTCCCTTATAAAAAAAAATACTACATTACTCAATTTTTTTTTTTTTTTTGACTACAGATAAAGGCTCATAATGAACCTCCTGTTAAATTTTGAATCATTTCTGTTAAGTTTAACAATTTTACTACAGAGTAGCTACCGTATAAAAATTACGTTCAAAACTCACAAAATTAATATGTCTATAAATAGCTAAAAATGGATTAAATTTTTTGAAAATTTTACCATTTCTAGAAAAGGCAAATATGTATTTTTGTCCAAATTTCAATTCTCTACGAATATTTTTAACTGAATTACAACAAATAACAAAATTGAAAAATAACAAAAGCATTATTTTCGTAATAATTTCCCGTTTTTCTTGACTTTTATTCTGGTTATTCCCAGGTATTATGAAAATCGCTTGGAAAATAAAAAAAATTACCTCCAAAAAGTACCATCTGGACAACATTACCTTTCTGAAATGGTGCCGTGTGTATATATCTGAACAAGATTTCTTGTAGAATTTTTGTACATAGCATAAAAAAAAAATTTAAAAAAAAAATAAACATATTAGTGAAACAAAGAAACAAATACATTCTTCGCTACACTCAGATTCTAAAACTACTAAAATTAAATGATTTGATTTAGTATTAAAAGAAAAAGTGCAACACAAATCATTGTATTCGTTAATCAACGTTTACTCTGCTGCATTTTCTTTTTTTCAATCTCTAAATCTATAATAATATGCATATAATTATATAAAATATTTGAAAAGCAGGTATAATTAATGGCGAAATATTTCCGGCAAATAAATAATGCGCATTGACAAGATTTAAATAAGCGCTCTGCAAACGGAATATATTTTAAAGTTTATAATGAAATTAATGAGTATTATCGAAATGAAATCGCTTTTTAGCCGTATAGAATCGATTACAAAACAAAGAGTAAGTTGACACACACACACATACACACACACACACACACGCCCTATTTGGATCACCTATATAAGCGAATAATGTAAGGGGTAGAGAATTGGTTTTGGATTTAGAGCGCGCCCGAAAGCACCACAGCTGTGTATAGTGTTGTGTAAATACACTTGAAAACGAACGAGAACACCATATGCGTCTTGGAGGTTTACAAGAGGGATTACCTATACACACCTTGCGTGTGTGTTTTCGGTAATGATTGTTACACTTTGAGCTTTTTAGTGCTCAAGGATAAGGGAACGGGTGCTGGGTATATATAGTGACGAGTGGAGAAAATCGAGGGGAAATAATAATATTGTTCTAACGAGACGTGACCGTGAACGCAAATAAAGGCTTGACCCGAGATATCGAAACTGCAGAGAGCGAACCACATCCGGTCAGACGGACTACAAGAACGTACGTATATTTACGGTTATAATAATATAAAATGCAGTGGCATCTCAGAAGGAGGAAATAGGTGTATAGGAAGGCCATAACTCCTCTCTTCTCCCAAAATTATTTTCTGGCTAAAATAAATAAACCAAAACTAAATGTTCAATATATAAAAATGGCAACATACTAAATACCTACTTGTTTATCTACTTAGAAAAAACCAAACTTATACAGTTCTAAAATGGTATCACTATTTATTAAATCAGTAAGTATTACTGAAATGTACATTATTATAATCTTTATAATATTATAAATTTTTCTTTTGTTTACAGTTTATATTTTGATTAGACAATCCGTGTAACTATAAATATAAATTAACAAAAATTATTATTTTTTAAATTTCGATCTGTAACTTATTTCTATACACAAAAACTAAAATTATATAATGTATCATCGATAGCGATTACATTGAAGCATATTTCTAAATATAAAATCGCAGTAACATACGATTATTAAGATTAAATACAATCTGTTTAACTGTTTTTTTTTTTTAAGATACGAATTTCAATTTTGTTTTAATTTTCAACAACTCCATCGGCTAATAATTAATTTTGTAAAATGATAATTTTATTATTTACGTCCAAAAATACAATTTCAATTTAAACAGCTAAACTTCCTTTATCCATTTTTAGATTATGAGCGGAGCAAGGAATGTATTGGTTTTACAATGATGTTTTTTTTTTCTATGTGAACACTTTATCTGCCAGAAAGCTTACTCCGATTATCAAGTATCGCATCTTTTCTGAAAGAAAATGCTCAAGAGGTCTTTTTTTTCAAATTTTCATCAATATTCGAGATAATGAGGAAAACCTGGTTCTTTAGGTTAAAAAAGATTAAAAGATTGAAAATAAGGTTGTCACTGACAATCGTCTTTATTTTTTGTTATTCAGTTGTTATTATTTTAATGTTTTTTAAAACAATCATTGTTGTCATGGAAACGAAAACTGTTGTAATCATTTTACAATAATATGACATATATGTATATATAGTGGACATAGCAACACTATCAACTAAACTCCGTTCGGAATCGTTTTTTCGTTATCAATAGTTTATCGTTGCTTACACGGATATACGTTAAATTCCCGTCTGTACCCTACCTTCCCAAATTCCCACCAACAACAGAGGTTGCACCCAAGCGCAAAGTATGTCCGTCCTATTTTGCGTATCAATTAATTAACAATGCGAAAATTATGAACATTGATATAAGTACGTAGTTTGTAGGTAGATAAATAGAATCCGTATTAAGATGGCAGAGAAAAAAAAAATAAAAAAATGTACGCAGCATTTGCATTTAATGTTAATGTGTTTTGCATTTTTCGTTAGGGATTTCCATAGACATTTTAATTGAAATATTATACTAAACATATTTTAAATTAGATATGTATACCTGTAGGTGCGGCTGTACACCATTGAAACGTTATTTTAATTCACCGTACGAAAAAAAAAAAACTAATGTTATTTCGTATAAGCATATCGTGTATAATATTATCAACTTTCGTAGGTTTGTCTTCATACGTTGTACATTATTACATAAACGTCTACTAAATTAGGATTCATATAGGTCTTGTAAGGATTTTACTAATTCCGATGCATTCAAATTTCTCTATTCTTCTCTGGTGCGCTCTATTATAGAATACAATTCAGTCGTATGGTCTAGTGCTGTCCATATACAAGGCTTTGAAGCTATTCAAAATCGATTTCTTCGATTTATTTCGTACAAATGTAATATCCCCCGTCAACCACACTCTAATTATACTCCATTATTAATTGAATTACGAAGAAATCTGACTAGTCTAGCTGATAGGGGAAAAATCATTGATTTGAAGTTTCTATAAAAAATAGTTAATGGGTATTTAAATTGTCCCGAATTACTCAGCTGCTTAAATTTGAATGTCCCTCCTTGTCGAACTAGATCTGCAAATAAGTTTTACATTCCTTTTCAGAAAACTAATTATGCTCTTGGTTCATCTATTTACACATAAATGAAAGTAGCTAATGACGTCCATGTAGATTTATTTAATTTTTCTTCTTTTGAATGTTTTTGTAATTATATTACTTATTATTTATAAATCGTGTTTTTTTTTTTTTCTCTCTTTACATATTTTTTCTTTTTTGCTATCTAAATTATTTTTTATCTTGATTGTTTTGCAAGTATTATTTTTTTTTTTTATATACACTTATATACTGTTACTGTCAATCATTTAAATTGATTTAAGTCCATAATTGTAATAACTATACAAATTGTTATTGAGTTCATCCTGTTTGAATTATTAAATAAATAAATAAAACTTGAAAAAGACTACGTATATAATATAACATCATAGTTTTATTTTCGACCGATTTTAATTCGATCAATTTGATTATATTTATTCGTACATCGATTACCTTAAGTAATTTTAAGAACATAATACTATTTGGTTGCAAGGATAGACCGACGGAAAATTTGCTCGTCCATAGGAAAATAACGTTATAAGCTAAAGTGATCTGTATATACCTTATTGTAAGGTACCTACCCTTACTGGGTTATCGAATTCATTTTTCCGTATACGGCTCTCGTGCGGTCTAAAAGGTTTCGGTAGTAAAAAAAAACTCCCCCGTTATATATACGCGTATACCTATCTATATACATTTTCACTAAAATGAGATCTTTATATATACAAAAAAAAAAAATCTCTACTTCCGTGAATCCACTTATCCGCCGGTCCCGAATTGTCGGTAACTAGGTATTAAAGTAATTTATTTTACTTACATATTATTATGTATGTATATACTTGACATAGGGTAGGTAACGGTTTATTCCTTCAGTTAAAACTATTAACTTAATTGCAGCACGTTATTACCGGTCATTATAATCAAAATGTATGACCGATTTTTTTTATGTTTTTTGAAATTTATATTTGAAGACAATTTTTGTACGAATTTGGTTTTTATTTGAGTATAAAAAGCTTCAATTATATAATACGTAGGCAGGCGTAGGATTTGTCCGACGCAGTTCACCGATACGAGTTCTAAAAATAGATTCGTATTCATCGTGAAGATTGTACATCAGGATTAAAGATACTATATTGTTGTTCATCGACCTATGATTAATCGTCTACTGAATTGAATCCACCAGTCCGCGAAAAACATCGCACCCCACGCGGGTTTATTATTTTACTAGCGTGACATCAAATATGGGCGAGTACTCGACGTTCTTTTTGGAAATTAAGAACTGATATACGTAAAAGTGGCCTGGCCGATCTCATTTACACTAAAAGCTGAATTCAAATCGGTTTTTAGAACTCTGATTGACAGAAAATTGGTTTAAATTTCTGTGCGACAAAGCAGGACGGAAGAATGTTCGTTCCGTTTCGAATCCCCTTAAGAGGCCGTCACAATGGCATTTGTCGTTTGTATTTCTAACGCACAATATTACAAAAACACATTCGCGTAAAACAAATGAAAATGCTTTTAAAATCGACTTTAACAATAAAAACACCTATAATACAATTTGTCGGTAACAACATTCTGAAGACAACCCATGTCAGCGTTTTAAATCTACCTAAATATTCTACTCATCGTTATCGAAGGTACATAAAAAATCGTATTTTACATTATTGTTGGTTTTATTTTTTTTAAATGTTTTTAATATATTTCGAAAAAATGCCGACGAGGTTAGTCTGCGTTAAATTAAAATCTATTGTCATATACAAATTATTGTATAGCTGGAGTTACATATACGAGTAATATTACTAAATGTCCGATATTAAGATCCGTGTGGTTTGCATAACGCAAACTCGTTTTTGGCCAAAATGCCCGTTGGAAAAACAGATGTTAGACAAAACAAGTACCTCGACTAAGGATGTCTGATGTAAACTAGAAAATCGAATTTGAACAAATGTATATCACTGAAATGTTTTTCAACGTAACATCTAATTTCGAATTGCCCCCTTAAGGGATACAACACTGATTTGGAGGATATTGGAATCCCCCGCGACAGTGGCCTGGCTGGATTCCTAGGATTAGGTTTATATTTAATTTCATTTGTTGTCATACTTGTGATATCGCCTAAACCTCGAATATTTATTTATGTTAGTTATTGCAATAATAGTTTGATCTATATGGTATCTAGTCGGGAAATTTAACTTAGTGATACCGTTCATTAGTATGCCATACGAATATAAAATACATACACGATGATACACTAAGTGTGCTCACTCCATTTTGTATCGGTTAAATTTTGCATATATTCAAATTCTGATTTTTGGAATTTGTAAATGCAGTTAAAACTGATATTTTCGAATACCTAGACTTTTCACAACATTCAAGGAGTATCCTGGTGTGGTTCCAACTTTGGTTTTTCAAATGAGAAGCTATATTAAAAATAACATAAATAAATGGAGTAGTACCCGCGTGCCATGCTATCGGCCGAAAACGAGCACATTTTTTACTTTTGTAACCGACTTTAAAGTTTCACCGAGCGTACACCGGGCCGTAAAATGAAATTATGTCGTCCGAAAAGACCTCGAAGCTGGCCCAATGCGATAGCCGCAAGAAAACCCGCTGCAGAGACCGTCGAAATAAATTGTAAAAATAAACTATCGAAACACATAATATTATGTATTCATAAAAAAACGATTCCGAGCGAATCGCGTAAGCAAAATTTTCTACCAGAAATCTTGTCCTAATCAAAATCTGCCCATGAGCTTTCTTGTAGAATTATTTTATCTTGTTATTTTATCATTTTCGATTTTTCTTGTACTTTTCCTAGTAACAGATTTTACCGCGACAGTTTTGTAAAATTTGTTGAAATCGACTTATGATGTTTTTCTAGGTAGGTACCTGACGATATTTATTCGGAAAAATTATTTTGTCGGTGTCCCTGGAATATTGCATTCGGACGGTCGCAAAATATTATTACTAAGATTCGATTGCCGGAACGCGAACCGAATACATGTACGGAGCAGAGTTATTACAGTTACCTATATACTCACCTATAGAATTTGATGAATATTATTGAATTCAGAGTTTCGTCCAGCGGGAGTGGGCCGCTATAAGGAAAAAAAAGAAACTTGACGAGAACAATCTTATCGCGTAAAGTCGAGAAACTGGTACTTCTTGCCAATATTTCCCTTAAAACTTTTAGCGCGGTGTCCTTTTGTACCGTTGGAATCGTTCCAAAACACACTCGTGGGCGCGCGCGTACACAAACATACACACACACACACACAGCTTTTGTACGTTGTTGGCATTTTTTTTTTTTTAATAATAACACGTCAAATGTAACGCACTGCTTTTACTGCGCCGTTTTTTTCTTTTCTTTAGGACCATACTGGTATAAAAATGGGGGGAATAATGTCGTGTAGTTTGAACAAAATGAACATCCCTAAACAACAGAGTTCCGTCGCTGGAATCGAATTTTCACCCGTCTATATTTTACGTTATAGAAAAATTCTCTGTAAAACAAACCGAATAACCGAATACTTTATGACAATACGATAGGTAATGGCAATATATAATGGTTAAAGACTACGGGGAGGGAATTAAACCTACAAAAGGCACATTCTTGATACTACTAATGCCACGCATACACAAAATGTCATCCCGCTGGTTTCATTTAGTGGCTCTGAAAGGGTATATAAAGTTTTACGAAAAACACGACCATTCAATCCGAAAACCATGGATAAATTCATATTGAAGTTCAACGGAAATTTTATCACTTCAATACGTCTACAAAAATAATTCTGATTTCCGAATTTGAGCTCGTTTTTTCCCGAAAAAAGATATATGGGTAATAATTATAATTTAGAAACATTATTGCAATCCGACGGTCTGTATATTTTCGGGGATGATTGGACAATAAAAATGGAATACACCGAAAGTCGAAATCCCCAAAATGCACATTTTCGATGATAACCGCAGTGCGTAAATTAAAAACATTGTCCCCGTGTGACTTCATCCGGGGGATTTGTTAAAAGCGTAAAAAACACTTTCTCTGAAATAACATGCCGAAATATTCTCATTGAAACTCAATTCCATTTGTATCTCTTCAATATCCGCACGTAAAACGACCCATATAACGCACGGTAGTTTGAGTTCATATGGTCCGTATACGGGGTTGAAATGTCCGAATTTAGCGGGAAAAAGACAGATACAGGCAGACAGAGGCAACAGTGTGGTCTCCATGTTCAGGAGAAATTCGACAGAACCAAAAAATGTCATGAAACAACATTATTTTGCTCTCATTATCGCAGTCATCGTCGTCGAGCGAAAAGCAGCGACCAAGTGAGTTAAACCTTTGGTCCCCCCGGGAAAAATAGCTTGTGTGGAAAAAAAATAATTTTAAAATAAATTTCAATTCAATTTTGTACATAAACTAATACACGAATACGCCGTATACACGAATTTCGGAAATATTTACACTTGTGCAATTTGGATTAAAAATAAAAATAAACAAATTGTAAAAAAAAAAAAAAAAAAAAACCACCGACTCAAATGATGTTTCTTTCCCGGGACGACAAAAGTAATACGATCAAATAGTCTTTACAGGTTTCCATCCAGCGTTAGAAAAACGACCGACTGTACATTTTCTGGGAAATTTTAAATATTATAATACACAAAGTTGTATTTTGACCGAGTGTTCAATTTCCCATACTATATGGTGAATATTAAATACCATACCGAAAAAGTTAAAATTGAAGGGTTTCTCATCGGACAGCGCCAGTTTTTGGCAAAACTCACGTTCTGGTTATATCCGATCGCAAGGGCGTCCGCAGGGGGTGCTCGAATATTCAAGCCGTGATTACTTGTAAGTTGCAGTAAGTTGTAAAAAAAAAAAAAAAGTCTTATACTTTTGATTTTGCCCCCCCCCTCCAGATTTATATTTCCGCGGACGCTTTCGTCCGATCGAGCGTAATACGATTCCCGTGATTTTTCCGCGGTAACAAGAAAAGTCCGATTTGTTATCCGCGTACGAAATCATAACGTGGTTAAACGATTCTGAATGAAAACACAAGACAACTCAAAACGAAATATAATTTATAAATGTCTCTTACGGTTAACATACGGTGTGGACAGGTGCGTTTACAAAAAAAAAAAAAAAATTTTTTTTTTTTGGGGGGGGGGGAGTAAGGTTGTACACTTTCATACTCTTGTAACGAAGAAGTTTACGTACTTTCAACTGTAGGATTATTTATTTTTCATTAAAAATATCAACATTTTATAACATTCACGTTTAGCCATTTCGGCTTTACTTAATACTTAATTTTACATTTTTAACATTTTTTTAAGTGAATACAACCCAAATGACAAACGTAATTCATATTGTTTCGATAATTATGCGGACTATGATATATCGTCGTTTCAGTTATAGTTTTCTAAAAGCAGGAAAACCACAACAAAAAATGGCAATAATAACAATACATACCTACTGCCTGGTAAAAAAATTAAAATAAAACCAAAATTGTATTTATCTTCCTCATTTACGAAAACAAATTTTGAGAATTTATTGAAAATCTACTTTCATCATAATTCTCATGGAATTTCAGGGTGTTTGAACCCCTAAACGGGGGGATTAAGGGATCCCCTAAACCCTTACCCCTAAATCCCCTCTCATTTACACGCGCCTATGCATAATTAATCAAACGAGGTGAAAACAAATTTTTCTGTATGTTTTTTCTATGTGTCGCCAAATCAACGTTGACATCTATTTCACTATAAACGCGGTATTTAAAAAACTATTTTTTTTTTTTTTTTTGTCTCTTTGAAAAATAAGCTGTGTCGGCGGGTTATTGCGCGAAGCGTTTCGATTTCATCGCCTTCGGCACTTTCTTAAATAATTTGTTTTTTTCGACTCACGTTTTTATTGTCGTCGAGACCGCCGCCGCCGCCGTGTCCACGACGATGTCACCGCGCTTATCGCAGCACTCGTGCCGCGCGAATTCCGATAGTAATGTGATCGGGCCGGTAAGTGTACAACGGCGGATACCACAATATTTTAATTCACGAGTGATCGCTGCGGACCGCGGCCGCTTAGAAATAAAAAAAAAAAAAAAACAAAAAATAATTACACGAAAAATTACGACGGCAAAAAACGAACGTACGCGAAACGCAAAAGTAAACACGAAGACGCGCCGCGACCGCCGGACAACGTTGCGCGTGAGACACGGAACTGTCGCGACGACGGCGGCTGAGTGGCAGCCGAAGACCAAAAACAACGTGGTCGGGGGGTGCGGATGGCGCGTGCGCCGCCAATCGCGTCTACGCACATCCCTATGAGATCGGGTCGCGTGGCCGTCGCATACCGCGATTATACCGGTGCCGCCATCTACCGACAACGGCACCGTAATTGCCGGACGGCCGCGGAGAACCGCGATGGTTTTCGCTGGTGGACCGCGGAGCCGTCAGTGGCGCGTACTCCGCAGACCGAGTTCGACGGCAGATGGAGCCAGCATTACCAACCACCAAGCCAATAACGCGCGGGAAAAAAAGTCGTTAGGTATGTCATCGATTCAGAGTTTTTCCGTAAATCCGAAATCAAACTTTTAGTGAAAACGCGAAATCAACATTTAAATATTTCGACGTTATTAAAGTACCGTATAACCCTACGTGGTTTTCCGTATTTGAGTGTTTTAGCGTTCAAATTTCAGAGGGTTGAAGTTTTGAGAGGTTAAAGTCAAACCTCTCTTCGATTGCCTCATATTGTAAACGGTTCACCGTAGGACTTAATACCAAAATGTTTGGGAAACAAATTGAAGGCCGCATATTCTATCCTACGCGTTGTCACTGTTTTGACCTTTTTCAAATTTTCACGAGATAGTACAATTATTATTTGTTTAACATGTTATTTTTAGGCATTTTTTAATGCAAAACAAAAAATTGCACACCAAAAACACTAATGAAAAAAAGACGGACATACCTCGTTAGGAAGGTAGTAGAGGGTAAATTCAATGATATCTGTACGCAACGACTAACCGTCCCGTAAGTTCCTCGATAACCTCGACTGTCAATCAGATGAAACACCCGATTGTTCATCTCATTGATTATAAATCGAAGCGATATTGCTGGCGGAAAAGTTGTTCACAGACAAAAAAAAAAAACAACAATAATAAACATCATTGTAGAACCAATACATTCCTCGCGCCACTCAGAATTTTAAATTAATGAAATTCTTCGTATTTTTCTATAGTGAATATGCGATTTGAATTATTTTTTAACACATTACCGTAAGCTGCGGAATCGTTGATATCTCCGGCGGCATTAAAACTACGATTCCCGGAGGTATGCGCTACGTACAAATTGCAAGCAAATGACATTTTCAAATGGGTGACGAAATGAAACTTGATTCCAAAACCAATTTATAGCATATAGACACCAGGTTGGTATTTCATGAAAAGGTAAGAGGAACAAAGTGTATGCATTTATGTAAACATTATATATAGCTTTCAAAAAAAAAAAAAAAAAAAACGTCCAAAAATATTCTACTGTTTAATGTTCAATATTGAATAAGTAATATTTATTGAAAAAAAAAATATAACAATTTATGCCCACCGTCGACAAAGAAGTTGCTGGCTTTTAACGCTTTGGAGTAAATAAATATTACCTAATTTCTTCAATGTAAACTTGACTACCTATTATTGTTATCATAGGGCATATAAATAACGAAAAAATTTCGTTGTCCGTGCTAAGAACGTCCGGCTGCCATAGAGGCATATAATATGCGTTCACTGACAAAGTGATAAGCAAAAGCCATCGTCATCATCGATACATAGATTAAAAAATATAATTAATTCCTTTTTTTTTTTTCTTAAGATTTATTATTTTCTAGAAGTGGACATGTCCCCCTTTTGCCCCCCCCCTAATGAGCGTTCATGGTAATATGTGTTAACAACTTATTTTAAACATCGCGAAAATGTTTGCGAATTCTCGTCGAAATATCGGCACACACTTATATAGGCACAAACATAGTAAAGTAGGGAGTAAGTTACCAATTAAATTAATTACTATGGTAATCACACCAATTAAGTTAAAGATTAAGTTAATAAATTTGGTTAACTTAACTTAACTTCAATTAATAAGTTAATTACAAGAAAAAATAAAAATTCGTAACGTGTCAAAGTAAGAGATTTCTACTCATAATTTACAAAACTTAATAAACATTACAATGAAAACAAATAAATTAACCTCAGCCATGCATGTTTTCTAATTTTTTACCCAACATTAATGTAGAAAAAAAGTATTTAGATAAAATTTCTTTGTTAAGATGGTTTTAAAATACTCAAATGTCAGATTTATGNAAAAAATGTATTATTTTCAATTATTCCATATTTTGTAGTAGTATCTTAATTAATCATGTAGTATCATAGACAATACATAAACCTAGGTGATGATTCCTACAAGGTGAACTTATAAATGTAATTTAAAAAAATATATTTTTAAGTTCATAAACATGCTATGTCTATCAAAAGACAAAAACCAAAAATAATCTTTGCGGTTTAAAGTTAAAATTTTACAACAGACACAATGCATAATAATAAAGATAATATATTAATATTATACTGTTCATTTAAAATAAAACAAAAAAACAACTAACCGGTCAATCAAAATACCTATTAAATTTCATTAATAATGATATCTCAAAATTTTGAGAAAAAATTGATCATCTTCTTTTGCTCAACAACTGACCTCCAGCGCTGAATAACCGTTCCACGTGTGCAGAAGAAGGTACGGCAGTATTATATTTAATATACACATCCTTAAGGATGGTTGGCATTTCTAATGGAGATTTTTAATTTCCATTAGACAAATAATTATTGACCAGAAGTTTGATATCAACATTTGTTATCAGAACTATTTTCCCCAAAACTAAAAAAATCATCCTCGGAATCACTATTAGTGCTGGGACATTCTCTAGACAAAGCACTAGATGTAGATTGTAGATTATATTCTTGAGAATTTATTTCTGTTGTTGAATAATCAACCACAGCTTCTATAAAAGTATTCTTAATGCCGTTCCGTTCTTCTTGTGTAACCCAATTTAATTTCAATTTTGGAACTAAACAGGCTGCAATTTGGCACATCTTGGACTGCATGTATATCATGAATCTACAAATTAAAATACAAATGATTTTATGAAGTTATTTCAATACAATTTTTATATTTACTTATTTTAAATACATATTAATCGAATTACGTATAAAACAAATTAAAATAATGACTATCTAACAATTAATTTAATTTATCTTTTTCAGATAATATTTATAAGTTTTTAAATATTCTAGTTCAAACTGCAAATACTCTTTTAAATGATATAGATAAAAAAAAAAAAAAAATAGGTATGTATATAAACATCAAAATAAATTCAAAGTTATAAATGGTTTTGTAAGTATTGCATATTGAACTAATAAATACAATTATTAATATCAACCTGTTTTTTGATATAACCACGTAAACGGTTATAGTTTTTTTTAAAAGAAATCAACTTTAAATTCGAATTTCAATATATACATATCTACATATAATTTAAAGGTAGGTATAGCCGTATAGGTATCTTACTTTTATATGTGTTCTAAGATTTGAATTAGATAATTTAGAAGTAGACATTTGTTTTTCTTTTGGGCCGCAGATAGGGCATTTAAATATTAAATTGTTCGAATTTAAATTTAACTCGCTTGACTTTAGTTGTTCGAAATAATTAGAAACATGCGGCCATTTGAGTTCGTTCGATCTGTTCTCTTCTCGGTGTTGTCGATGATTTGTACTAAAAACGTAAATCACAAATTTCTTTATAATATAAAAAATGTCAATACTTAATATTTACAACGAATCAGGTAGTCCCCGTTTATTACACAATTACTCGACGGTTTGTATTAATCAAATATTGTTTTCTAATCATCACCGTACAAGCCATCGGATACTTTAATATAGCACGTACAAAACAATCACTAATTCGAGTAATTTAGGTATTTGAATAAAAATTGCAATAACAACAACACGATACGAAGTAGACTGTAAAACTATCGCGAAAAGTATTAAAACATTCCCGAAATTAAGGAATGGTAAAACATCCCGAATATCTGCTATTCGGTTCCGAGTATTACAGGACGCGTTTTCGAATTACAAACCCATACAGCCGGGTCCTGAAAACGTGTACGGCACACGGACAGTGTACGCATGCATATTGTACAGGTACATACGGGCACTAAAACGCGCCAATCGAATCAATTCGTTTGTTCAATAGGTGTTGTTTTGTACAGCTACACCGATAAACTGTATCGTAACGTTTCCGTAATTGATAATAGCTCGCCGGGATAACAAATTGTCCGTATTCAATAACCGTCAAAACGACGGCGGTTCGCGCGACAAAACGAAAACGTCGACCGTCCGCGCTCCGTATCGCTTTGCGGTCGAATAATAACCGCGAAAAGTGAAACACTACGCAATACTGCGAGAGACGACCGTCGACAGTAAAAAACAGCTAAACGCAGTAGCGAGCCGTTCGCGCGGAAACGAGCCGCAGGGATACCGGGGAAAATGTATACAAAATACTAATTATCACCAATACGCAACACGTCCCGTGTACGAATATTAGATTTAGATTATCGGACGTTTTATATTAGATAAAGTAGACGGCTACCGCGTTCGCGACGATAACAATTATAATTCGCGGACTCGTCGCTATTAATATACTTACCGCCTGTTGGCCGTTATAGACCCGTGTAGTCGTTTATGCGATCCGAATATCGTTTCCCGGTACCCCTATTTATCGTGTTCTCGAAATGTTCTTGTCTTTTAATAAACATAGATTGTTCTTCGGAATATTTTATTTTGTTTTCGATAATTGTCTAGATTCAACGAACTTGTAATCGGAACTTTGGATCGAACAAAAACGTTTTCCTGGTATTGAAATTCAAAATTAACCTAATTGATAAAAGTGAAAAAGAAAATACGTTGATTTTAAATTAACCTCGGAGAAAACGAGTTAAGTTAACAAGTTAACATAACTTGACTTTTAACTTAACTCGCAACTAACGAACTCGTTAATGCCCAGGCCTCGGTAAAAACAATTAAATAATATAGTTAAAGACGACGAAATTCGTTATGGGTTTCGCTAAAGATTTTTCGACATCAAATACTGTTTCGTTCTAAAGTTTTAAAAAAAAATAAATCTTTATTATGATTGTGAAAATTCCGCTTTGAAGACCAGGGGCGTCATTTCAAAGAGTGTGCAAATGCATCCCGTGGATTTTTTTAACGCGCCTAATATTGTAGATGTACTTAATTTCATGGAATTTATATTCTAAATCAATCATTTACAAACAATTTTTGTTATCATTTACAATTTTAACAGTATCACAAGACATAAACACCGTTATAAATAATATAATATTGGTATTATAGTACCGACGAAAGGTAATTTCGCTTAATTATTATAGAATAAAAGATTTTACGTACGTGTACTATAAAATACGCGGTTATATAATTATGCATTTTATAATAGACACTGCCATGAGTTTTTTTATTGTTTAAATTTCAGGCCGTAGGTACCTACACGTAATTTAAAAAAACGCTTGTTTAAAACGCTTCTAGGTATTGTTGAGTTTTACTTTTTATACGATTTTTTTATAATACTTATTATAATGTTTATTACACTATACCCAATATATTATTTGGTCGGATAATAAACTTATTAAGCGGGTATTTTTTGTGTATTTTAGTTCAATATAAAATAAATAATCAATATCGGAATTAATGTGATGTAGTTTTTAAATAATTGTATTATACAATCGAATTGAATGACGATTGAATAATAGAGTCAAGTATGGTGTTCGTAACTTCGTTTTAAAAACATTTTAACACCGATTGAATCGCCGAGATCGAGTCACGGACAGTGCTAACCTATCGTTTAATATATAAACTTAAAACTACCATCCGGATATAGCTATAGCTGTCATCTACGCGTTCTTAAACGCCTAACATATTTCATCGTTGTTTTATAGTTTTTCTAAAGTCGGTTTATAAAAAAATCACAAGTTAGTCGTAGTAGGCGAATATTGTACAGAATATCGAATCCGGTGTGAATACCGACACGATTTACAACACACGATTTTCGGATTTTACACGTTTCAAAATATCATTATTGTTATTGTTTTGGAAAACTCAAAATTTATAAACTCCGTGTCGAGCGTTATTATATTTTCGATCATGGAAACGTCGTGTTGTTGTTATTATTACGGACGGTAAACAGTTAAAACTGTTTTGACGTGTGCAGTTAGTGTATTCTGCGAATCGTTACGTCCCTACACTTTATATAGTTTTAATGTTTTAACACCCTCTTGTTGTATCCTAGAAACCCTGTTTTCAGCGAACTTCGAGTAATTCGATTGCCCGGCAAAAATATTTTCAAGTGACGCTGCACAAGTGTTAAGTGGGGGTATGATTACATAAGTACTGCTACTATATTCCGTTACTATGTCTTAGGTGTAATTAGTTTCACAAAGGACTTCACATTTTTCCATTAATAAAAGACGAGTGAAAGGATTGCGATTTTATTAAGATTCATCGGCCTCGTATATGCAGACACTGTATAATAGTGTACAGTAACGGTTATATTTTTATTGAATCGGTGAACGACTTTTCTACCATAAATCATGCTTCAATCGTTAACTGACCACATAGTGGTTACCGGTAGAAAATATTACCTAGTTGATGCACTGAGAAGTGCACTATCGATGACCCCTCCTGATCCCATTGAGAAATCCTGAAAACTCCGCAGTTTATTAGTATTAGGTATTGTATTGTGTCTCTGATCTCGACGGGGCTCCAGGTCTCATCGAGAATCGTGCATTCGGAACCGTGCGCATCTCCGGTGTTGATATATTAGGTATATGGTGTATTATAATTAAATATGATATTATTGACTGCGATGGGTACCCCGGTGAGTTTGTACGCTGTAAACACCATAGAGTTTTCTATTCCATATGACAATATAACAAGGCCTTTTTTTTTTTTTTTTTTTCGGTTATCATCCAACGTGTTTAATTTACTGGGAACGGGTGCGATCACTGTTATAGTTTGGTAGCGGGGTAAGGTGAGATACACAAAGTTATTTAATTTATAAACCAGCGATGAAATATTGATGACAAAAAACGATCCGGAGTGAAAATTCGGTTATACAAATTTTGAAAGACATATATATTTACGGTTTTTGTGAAAATTTCATTTTAATACTTATATATATATATAAAAAAAAAAACAAAAATACCATATTAAACTAAATTTATTTTTTTTGTTCGGAACATCTACCTACTACTTGTCGTATTATGGTAAAGCAATTAAACAGGCACCGTATACATAATATTTGTTTAACATTGTACCTATTTTACCGTTTTTCCCTTTTTTTTTTTTTTTTTTTTTTTTCTATGTGTGTGCCAACGGCCGCGGCTCGCGTAGTCCGTCGTGTGGACGTCGCGTGACAGTGTCGAACAAGTCGACAGTGTCGTGGATCCCGCCAGCGACACGGCAGCAGAACCTGCGAACGGAAACACGATTTTGTACGACCGGCACTGTCGACCGTCCGCGGCCGCGCGCGTTTTTCCACTCGGGTGTCCCGAGGACCCGCAGGCGCAGACGCCGGCCGTGCGCGGCTCTCGTGCGCGCTGTTTACGCACCGACGCCCAGTATTCGCGTCTCTCCGTTGTACCGGCGATACACTTATGCGTTTACAATTCCGTGTTCCCGCGTAAACGTGCTGGAGCCGTTTTTCCAAATCGCACGTCAACGCCCGCGCTGTCGTTCAATATTATTGATCGGTTTGATCGTTGTAGCACTGTACAAACGTGCACGCGGTTTGGCGGTTTCGAGGGGCCGCATTTTACCGGGTGGGGGAGGGAGGGAGGGGGGAGGGGGGAAACCGTGGGTCGGCTGACCTCCCAAACCCCCCTACACCACCCCCGGGTCCGCCCCTGTTTTGGCCGATCGTTTTTTTATTTTTTTTCTAATTTTTCAAGCAGTTTTCACAATATCTGGGAAAAACCGGGATAAAATGTAGGAAAAACGTAAAATGTACGGAACGTGGGTATTTGTAAAAAAAAATATTATGGCCTTTTTTTTTTTTTTTTTTTGTGTACAACTTTTCTACCGGCAATTTTGCTCCGGTTCGCAATGACGGCACTTTTTCTAAAAGTAAATCTGACTGGATAGGTACTTAGAAGAGGTCATTTTTCGATTTTTCCCGGAGTTTTCTCAGTAAATGTGAAAAACCGAAAAAAAAAAAAAACAGATAAAAAAACGGGAAAATCGGTACAATTACTTATTGTACTGAATACATATTGCTCCGGGGCGGCTATAATCTTTAATCCGGCACTTTAGTATTGAGGACTGCCAATCGATATGCCCATACTTATATTTTATTCAAACATAATTTCGTTTTTCGCATTTAGTCAATCGATAAAACTATTTAAAACTATACATATTACTAGATTTTGTTCTAATTGTTTTAAAATTAGGAATTCATATTAACCCGTCGCCGGTCGCGCGGGGTAAATAATCTCCGAGTTTATTTATAAATACGTGTTTTTCCGTAATTGTCTGTAATATAGTTTCGTAATTCCGATTAGCTTATCAAAATCGCATCATAATTCGATAATGACATTTACTTCATCGAAAACTATTTTANAGATTAATTTATTATTTTGCATTTTTTTTTTCAATTTGATTTTCTCTTGATTATTATTATAAAAAACATGGACGAAATTGAGAGACGGCGGAATTGAGTGTCTATTAGAAAGCACAGAAGAAGATGATTTATTAGGAGGCTTTTCAAGTGATGATAATGATAATAATACACCAACATATGAACCTCATGACCAAAATACGGATACAGAACAGTCAATTTCTAGTGCAAGTTCTATCGGAAATATTTCTAATGTTTCTTAAATATTTCTTATTTTTTAATTTTTATTCACAAAACTAAAGACCCATATGCAATTTAAATTGTATAATTATTTATGTATATTAATTATAAGTATTGTTAGTTATAAAGTACCAACTAAAAGTAATATTTTAAGTATATTTCATATTATGGAAAATTTTTACCCCGCGCGGCCAAAAATAAAAAAAAATTACGCGACCAGTGACGGGTCAACAATTTTATTATTATTCTTACCACTGTTCTGTTTTATTGGTCAACACTTTCGTATTTTAGTTGTTGTTTCCCATTTCATTGGAGTATAGAATGTCAGTTTAAACGCTAGATGGCAGGGCACGAAACAGTGTGATTGAAATAAAAATCGTTAGTAGGTAATATATTTCCAAGTTCGCACAGGGAAAATAAAATGAATTATGTGAACATACTAGGTACTTACTATCTTTTTTACACAAGAGATCGTATGCCAAATAACTCTTATGGTGAACAATAAATTATGAAGTCGCAACTAAATATTTTAGAAAAAAGCCAATTTATTTTTACGACGTGCGTGTAAAATATTTTTATATTATTGCCCAAAGTTTACAAATAAAATATACTACCCTTATAATATAGTATAGATAGGTAAGCACCTACATGAGACCTTTTATCGTAAAAAAATAAATAAATGTATTTTTAAGTATGATTTATACAACTCAACTTACATAAGTTTATCTATAATAAATAATTTGTTTTATTTTATCAGTCTAATTTTACGTTTATTTGGAAATAATATATGTAACAATAATATATTATATAATAATATATTTTTAATAACTATTTATAATATCTGCTACTTTTATATCGAGTAAATTTAAATTTGTTTTAAAAAAAACACTATACGAAATATTATTATAACAACAGTAATATTATGCAGTCAGTGTGATATGTTTTTATTCCCGGACCAAAATCCACTTGAAACAAAATTATTGCGCTACTGATAACATTCAAATTAGTGAAACACAGGAAAACTAAATGTGATTCTAATTGACACTTTCAAGCACTGCTATAAAGACTGTAATAGACGCGTACACCGATACATAGTTGCAAAAGTAACAATGGGGCTATTTTGAAGGACATGGGCAGTAGCGTTGAAGTCCTATGAATGGAGTCCGGTGAAATAATTTTCAAACTAAGCATCACACAATTTTGGTTAGCGTAGGTTTTTGTTGCTGTGATGAAGTTACGCCTTATGTTTAATTTTTGAAAGAAGTCAAGTCAAGGCCTGGTCTTAACATAGGGCTCAGCACTATTGGTTATAAGTATAAAACATACATTATAAAATAAAACGGTTCTCGCGTATTATTTCATTACGTGTCTATACAATAGATTAAATAGATACATAAAATCTGAGTACAAAAAAAAATAACCTTTTTGTCCGTCATATTCTATAGTATAAATAATATGTATTAAGTGTGTAAACGTGGACCTTATTTGTTTATAAAAATAAAAAAAGTTAGAACATTTTAATCGAGTCTCCCGTCAATTTTTTCGTCATTGTAAGAGAGTAATTTTGGTGAAATTTGGTGATGATATCACAACTATTTAATACTTTACGTGTCATAAATGGTTAAACAGTTATCAAAGAGGGTTTTTTGACCATCTATTTGAATTTAATTAAAAAACTGTATCATTAAAATACAAATATACCAGACCTTAAATATAAAACTGTTGTTTATCGTAAATTTATAATTTTATGAAAAAAAAAAATCGATGAAATACTTAATAAAGTATTTTAAATTTAATTTTAAAAGTTTTTTAAATTTACGATAAATGTTGTCAAGATATTTTTTTTTTTATAAATAATTGAATTGTATTTTCTATGTTTAAAGTCTGGTACGTTTATATGTAAATGCTACAGTTTTTTAATTAAATTCGATAAACGATCAAGCTGCACTTTTTTGGGTAATTTGTCAATTTGTTTGTGACACGTGAAATAGCGAACCTGTTATCATCAAATTTCAACAGAACAACTCTCTAATATTGACGAACAAGATGAGGGGTGAAAATGTTTGATCAAAATTATCTAACTTTTTTTTTTCTTCATTTAGAAAATAAGAACTACCTTAATGCTTATAAAGTATAATCTGTACTGCATACACATTATATAGATACCTAGATGTATGTGTTTTTAATTTTTTCATGCGATAGCTACATGCTATATATAATATATATATTTATATATACAACTATACATTACAAAAGTTGACTTTATTACTTCAGTACTTATTAAGTTATTAGAACTTTTTCGGTGATGGACAGCTGCAAAAACGAAAAAAGAAATAAACTAATATAAAAAAAAAATTAAGCTTTTGGAACTATCCTCCGAGGATGTAATATGTGAAGGCCATTAGAGAAATGAACACGAGAAAAAAGCTTTTAAAAGATCCAACAAACTAGACGTTTAATGTTGCGGAATTCATCCTTTTCGTATTTCGACTTGAATGTTCTTGACGTTTAGATGTCCTGATTAACAGCTAAGAGATCCTACGCGTCTCCATAATAAACCTGAAATAAGCGTTATCTTATAGATATAGTTGGCAACCTTTGGTTATAGTAATATTACTATTAAATTTATTATTGTATAATATGTTTAGAATTTATATGATAATAATTTATTTACGTTTACGTTTACAATGTTTATATATTATGTTAAAGAAATTTTCCAAAAAAAAAAAAAAACCTCCGGCACAATTCATACCATGATTAAGCTACTATTATAAGTGGGGATTTTAGAAGATATTAGATATATGGTGATTTAGTTTTATACTGAGAGTAATGATACGCTATTACAATGAAAAAACGATTCTAAGGGAGGCTCGGTAAACTAGTCTGGTTTTTTTTGTTTTATAGTACTACCGTGTTTTTTTCACCTTGTGGCCAACCAAGAAATTAAAACAAATTAAACAGTATTGTAATTTTGTCTTTATCTTTAAGAAAAACTGTTGGGTATCTAGAAACAATTATTTTATAGCTAAGTTACACTTAGCAAAATAACCGCATTTTTGTAAGGTAAGATATGAGCCGTTTGTGTATTTTTCATAAATAAAAATGTGTTTTCTGAGAAAAAACACTTATTAGCGAAACTGCTTCTTCGGTACACTGAAAATTAAAACAAATATATATTTAACTGTGACTTAACTATTGATTGTACTATAAGAATACAGAATTTTTTTTTGTGTAATTTACAGTTCAGTTTCATACAAATTGCAACAGAAGAACGATGAAAAAAAATACAAACGCGGTTTTCTTGAACTCGTTTTTAGTATGAATAGTATGTGTAATTAGTTATCGTGGCGTATCTACAAATTGCATATAGTAAATCTCTATAATCCACCTCAACTCAAACCAATGGGAGTATTTGTACGTCTATTTTATTGCCTTATGACAAAATTGTACGATATACGATTTAAGGAAATATATAAACATAAATAAATAAATATAATGTAGTATCTTTAATCATTTTAGTGTCTTATTTTTGCATTTGGTTATTTGTTTAAAATTTTCTGTAAGTATTCAGTTGAATTAACAAAGGTTAAGTAATATATTTTTATTCACTATTTTCCGTTGAAAACGTTCTAAAATGTCGCCAAATGAAGATAAAATCCTTTTGAAGATCTAGATGTTAATCAGACAGTTTAATTGAATCTGTCGTCGTATTCTTAATTACTAATTTAAATGATTATTTTACAAAAGGAAAAGAGGATTCCTTTGAACTTACATAGTAGCTAGAGGTAATCGACAGAATCAACAATAATTTTTGTTTAATTGCAACGGATTAAAAATTAAACCTTGTTTATGGTTTATTTAAAAATATTAAGTTTTAATAAAATAACAAAAACTGACAATTAATTAATTTTTGTTTACCTTATTCGTCCTATGAAGTATCTATAGTTCAAATATTATTATTACTTTTGACTATTTTGCTTTAATAATAATTGTATTAATAACAATAATTATTGTAATATTGTTCAGGTACTTAACATATTTGGGTGCCTATAAAATATAAATGACGTTTGTCCGAAAACAAATAAATACACTTTTATTTTAACTTACCCCTGGAAAAATAATTATTACGTAGAAAACTGCACACTAACTTATAGAAAAATATAAATATGAATTATATATATTAAATGATTGAATATCAACTGAAGATAATTTATTCTCGCGTCATTCACACTCATCTGATAAAAGTTGACTGCAACGACCAATACATTCTTGAATCTTGATGTGCATTTATGCAGTTTAAGAAACTAGGATCACTAATTTGGATTGTAGTTATAATTATAACAAAGAATACATTACAAATATCTGAGAAGTGGGTACATCTACAGTTTATTATTTAAAAAGTTGTCATACTCGCATATATTTTCATCATCTTACTAATGCACGGCATATGAAAATAACGTTACTTTGAATCGTTACTAAAATAGCAGTATTTTTTTTGTATACAATTTTTTTAGAAAAAAGCTATGTATTATACTTGAAAAAATGCTGCAATTAAAATTTAGTTATTCGTGTTTTAAATCTAATTTCAACCCGAACACCACAGTTTATATTCTAAAAAGTATAAGCTTTACAGACAGATAATATTTTGGTTTTTTTCTTAATATAAAAGATAAAAACAAATTCTCCAAATTTAGAAAATAAATTGTTTTTAGGATAGGTACAGTCTAATAACTTTAGTTTTCATCAAACAGAGTTTACAACTGAAGTTTCCAGGAATCACTTAAAATTTTCAATTTTCCAGGTAAAATTATATAGCCTTTTTTTTACGTTACTCAGTTACTTACTTGCCTGAATTACATTATACCGTTTGAATTTAATAATAATAAATAATCTACTAATCAATTAGTTGAGAAAGCTTTTTCTCGGAAATCACCTAACAAAATCGAACGTGTTTACGCATCAACGGTGTCGTCCCTTATCAATGTTTAATTAAATTGATTGGCTTCGGTCCCGTTGATGGATTGCTAGTGTATTTTTCTCTATTTCATTCTACCTTGTGCCGAATTATTCGGACGATTAGACCCGAGTTCATTAATTACGAGGATTTTTTCTCCCTGCTTCGTCATTTAACAAACTTGGCAAAACGTTTTTGGGGGATCGGTATCATTAATCGTCTACCCGCTAAAACATTTTTTTTTCAGACTTAACCACTTCCTTTACAGATTATTATTATTACTATTATAATGTTTTTTTTTTTTTTTTTTTGTAACGAAAAAAGCCATTCTTGAAATAATGATTATGTTTTCTTGTCGCGGGACTCAGAATGAAGTATCAACCAGCTGTAGCGAAATTGGATGTATAGCTTACACATTTAAAAAGATGTTTAAACTTATTTTCCTTTTATTTTTTTAGTTTAAATCGTTTTCGTGCAGCAAACATTCACATTCCGTGTCGTTTCTTTTGAATTTGTTATCCGCCGGGTTAAGTCATTTGAATAGAAAAATAATGATTTTTTCTTTTTGTACTTTTGAATTTCGTATATGATCAGTAAATAATAATATGGGCTATAGTATCCTTAATTATATTATAATTAACATTTGTCGTATACTTTTAAATAACGCAAATATAATATATATTATATATTATATTTATGAATTTTTAAAAAAAATGGCACGATAAGTCCAATAAAATTGTGTTTAAATACGTTAGGAACATTACAAATGTTATAAAACTTTTAAACTTTCCGTAATTGATGAATTTTTAGATTTACATGCGTTTTTTAATTTATATATAATATTTTATTTCGTATTTAATAAAAAGACAGTTTTTTTTTAGATTTAGCTAAGCTTAAGTAAAGGATGTGACAAATATTATCTTTTAAAAGACAATTTTTTTAAAATTAATAAAAAAATAAAGGGTATAGGATATAGGGTAATTTAGTTTTAGATAATGAAAGCAATAATGAATTGAAATTAAAAAAAAGACTAAGTGAATGACTAAATATAATGGTAGGTACTATAATCGTGTTTTTAACTTAGAAATCGACAACAACAAAAAAAGCTAATACTGGGAAAAGGTGTGCTACTGTACTAGGTGGAAAGTTGAAAAGATAGTATACATGAGGTTATTTCATTTACATCTTTAAACTATAATGAATCAATTCTAACGAAAAATGATTTAGAGCAAAGTTCGGCTATACATATTTTGAAAGACAGTAATGTTTACGATTTTCGTCAAAATTTTTAAAAAAAAAAACAGCTATATTACACTTAATTGTTTTGACTAATACAATAACGAATTATATTGAATCTCCTGTTAAATGTTTAAGCATTTTTGTGTAATCTAACAATTGTATAACTAAATAAAATGTACGTAATTAAAATGTCTGTAAATAGCTCAAAAATAGTTCAAATGTTTTGAAAATTGTACCACGTCTAGAAAAAGGCAATCACAGGTTGTCTGTCAAAATGTCAAGTCTCTACTAATATTTTAAACTAAATTGCAACAAAAAAACTATTATTTTCTTACATTTTCCCGTTCTTTCTACATTTTTTTTCGATTTCGCCTTTTAGTATAGGCACTTTACTTGATACATCAGAGCCGGATTTCTACTGAAAAGTTGCTCACAGATAAACACAAAAAAAATTATAATAAATAAAAAAACACCCTTGCAACACTCTGAATTTAAAAAATTGATGCATCATCATTTATGTGTTGTTTTTTTTAATTTTGCCACCTTTTAAAGGTTCGCGAATTTTCTATGGTATGAACTATTTAGAGAATTGTAATGATTTGGTTTCAATAGTGATAAATATCCTTTTTGATTTATATTTCGAAAAGGACTCACCAATCATCTTGGGTCGATTTACAGTCTTTAAAACAATATTACAAATTGGGAGAAACTTTAATTATCTAAGATGAGCCCTTTTTTAAATCCGCCATTCATTTAAACTACTTTACAAAGTATAAAATAAAATTTTTAGAATTGTGTGTAAAAAAAATGTAAGCAAATTCTACAAAATTGTATTTTCATTCACTTATTCAAAAACACATACCGGCCATTATTTCTTCCGAAATGGGAGTTACATATTTCGGAAGGTATTAGTATTTTTTTTTTCATTTTCGGGGTTAAAATGAGATTGAATTTGATGCCACACGACAGCAATTAATTTAATATTGCGTTCGACGCATGCATTTGGTATTTTCAGCAAATTATTGGATTACGTTAAGAATTATCGGCTTTAATCAGACCTTAAGCACCCGGGAATGTGATCTGAAAATTCCAGCCGAAAATTCGATATAGGTGTGCCACCCTATATTTTATTAGATATGACCAAACGTGAAATATTTAAAGACATTATAAAAATCGTAATAAAACGTCTATGTTTCTGCAGCGTCTCTCTGTGTATGCCGTCGTTTTAATATCCACGTAAGTGCGTATTTAATAATTATTAAGAACTATAGTCTATATACATAGAATTTATGTGTGTAGGCTGTAGATCTATCTTGCATCTGGCTTAGTAGAGAATCCAATTATTATCAATCGTTTAAAAGAATTCCATTTTTCGATTTTGATTATTTGAATTATTTATTTCCGTAGATATTAAACTAATGGATTAAACACAAATTACTATGATACATGCAACGATTGTTGACCATTAGATAGTGTAATGAAAGAAGGAAGGAAATATAAATATAATGATATCATAAGAGAGATGCTCTTGCACAGTTATCGCTTTTTTTGCCATTAGTACACGTATAGAGAGAGAAAACGATTGTTTTTCTCTCCATTATGTTTGCAGAAAAACGCATATACGCACGTGCATAATTCATCCCCTAGTCTCAAACCAGTTTCTACTGAAAAATTGTCTGACATTACATAATTGAATTTTACATTACATTTGGAATTTTGAACACATGCCTTCACCAGTCGCACAAGATTTGCCGGTATTCCGAGTTCATTCATCATCCGCCAAAGACTACTCTTCTTGATAGAATCGTAGGCTTGTTTGAAGTCTACAAATAGTACGTGTACATCTTGGTCAAATCCATACCTTTTTTCTGTGATTCGTTCGATTGTACTACATAGTATACGGTTATAATTTATATTATTATACCTGACAGTTTTTTATACGACAGTATTTTATACGTGGTCTAATAAGAAACTATTTTGTAATTTTGTAAAACATGTACTTAACTTACTGTAAATTTTTTAAAGTACTTACTGATATCTTCCGTACAACTTTTTTGTTCGATTGGCAATAGTACGTGGTAGGAAACGACTGGGTATTTTTTTTTATTGTACATTATATATAGTTTACTTTTTATTTCGCCTCTGAACGGGGTAATAACGTTTACATTCGATAATATTTTCGATTCTGATCAGTATGTACTATATTAGTCTTGAAATTGTTTTCCTGAGATCATTATTCGAGATAGTTAAAAAGTTTTTTTAACGGTATTCTTTATAGCTGTGCAGAGAATTTAAAATAGTACATAAATGGTAGTTGTTAAGGTAATTATTTAAGTGATAAGCTGCAGAACTTATTCCAAGAATTTCTTTCTATTGCTCAAAACTGAAAGCCACTCGACCCTTAAAAACGACGTATAATTTATTTAAAAACGTATAAGATTATAAAAGTTCAAAAACAGTATGATAACAAATAATATGATATCTTTTTGTATATTTTTATGTGCGAGTATAATAATATATAAATAAACATAACGTTACACAAATATTATTACTACCTACATCATTTTACATCTTTTTGATTTTTGAAAACGTTGTATGTGTACTAGTGCCTGAATTCGTGAAGCAAAAACTGCATTGTATTTTTTATATACTATCTAATTTGTGTCTAACAGCCAGCTACAAATGTTAGAATATAGTGCCTGATGAACTATATAATAGTATGATAATTTTTTTATTTAATAAATAGTTATATTACGTAATTTTTTAGTTAACTATCTCATGTAATTTAACTGTCCCGCGCCCGGCGTTGTCCGTGCCAATTTGTATTATTATCATTTTACACGTATTCATTTCAGAATTGAATGGAAACAAATAGGTGAAAAGTGGCTAGTGCACCTTCAGCGGACTAAATGTGTTCTATTGTGAAATTTTAATTGTGTAAATAATAGTAATAATAATAATTATAATAGTTTTCTTTTCCGTGGAAACCAAATTATCATCTGTAACACCAAGATAACCCTTGAATAAACAAAAATAAATAAATAAGCAATTAGATATTTGTATCAAATATACCTAAACACCCCTATTTTACCCCCTTAGGAGTTGCCTTTTGCAAAATCCTTTCTTAGCTTCTTATGACGTTTTTAAACGTCTTTAAACGTCATAAGATTAGCTATCCGTGTGTCAAATTTCAGCCAGATTTGTCCAGTGGTTTGAGCGATGATGAATCAGTCAGTCAGGACGTGTTATTTTATATGTATAGAAGAGTATAATATACATTATATACATTTTATATATTTGAGACTGCAGTACAAAAATGTATATTAATTTATATTTTTTGATATATTATAATATTGTATATTTTGTGAACAAAAAGAAAACTAAAGGCCCACATTATCATATCATAAAAATCGTCACCACGGCATTAAAAAAAAAAAAAAATGTATTCCAAGTCTATATTATATTTACATATTTACTACATATATTATCCAATTATTGTCGTTGTCTGTCTATACCTACATTATTGTTATACACTACGATGAAATTGCATTGCAGACAATCAAACTAAACATTCAGAAAATGCATTCGTCTGACAAATTCCGGTATAAATGTGAATCATTAGTATTGATTTTCATTCGTAAGCAATTCGTATAATAAATTTCGACCAGATCTATTATTTTCACCCACAGAGCAAGTTCACACGTCCCCTACCGTTTAATTAAATGGGAATTTCACCCCCCAAACACGCGTCCCAACGCGCATTTATAATAATAATTGCCCCTTACATAATAAAGATATCGAATTCTCGTGGTCTCTCCTCCCTTTGTTATTTATACCTATAATATAATATATAAATAAAAGGTCGTTTACGGCTAGTAATCATCCGTGGTGAGAAATATTCTCATTAGGAAATATTTCTTCATAATATTGAAAAAATAACTGACAATGTTTAATTATAATACTAGATATACTTATACAAGGCTATGCACGTTAATATATAATAATACTAACTCCAATAAATTTAATTAATTGAAAAAAAGTTAACAAGTTTACACGTTGTAAGTTAAATTTATTATTAATTGACTATTTCACTGTTGTGAGTTTTTGATTTTTTTGAAAATAAATAACGATCAATAAGCATGTTAATCTTAAAGCATTGAGGATTTATCCCGAGAACAAAAAAATAAATTTACTTCAAGTTACACAAAACTCCATACACATTGTTGAGTAAAAACAAAATATATATATATTATTCATACGTTAGTGCCTATTCAAATACACTTTGTGTGTATAAAACTAAAAGAAATTAAATTAACAAAGTATGATTACAAAATATTTCTATATTTTGGTATTGCGTTAACAAGTTAACGTCAAAAAAAAAAAAAAATACCAAAGTTATTTTATAAAAAAACAATATTTTAAATAAGTTAAGTTGAAAGTTAAATTAGTTTTAATAATATAAGTACCGTTTTGGTGACGCTCCTGTTGACTGTAGTTCGTAACTATATATTGCTGAGTAACTATTAACTGATATGGACCATAAATAAAATAAATCATAATATTTGTCATGGATAATACATAAAATCAATTGTGCTTTCATGATAATGTATTATTAAGTATTAACCATGAGCTAAGGTAATATGGACAGGCAACGATATGGTAGGCGAGTGATAGCGGTCCAAGTTTTTTGACGGAGAATACATAAACGAAGAGCATCTAAGGACCATAACGATTTTAGTGGTGTTAGTCTGAACTATATAGTATACACTGTGGAAATACGGCGTACGTGTGATACAAACATACAAATCTTCTTCTTCTTCTTGTATTCAACCCTTATGGTTAATTTTGCAGTTGGATATGCGCTCTCCGCTCTTCCCTGTTTGCAGCTAACCTCTTCATTGCAATGCAGCGCGTATTATAACATCGGAAATCATTTGTTTAACAGATTATGTTCTTGGACGTCCTTGGCTCCTTTTACAATCGATTTTCCATTCTATTATTCTATAAACAAGTTCATTTTCGTGCCTCAATATGTAACCAATCACGTTTCATCGTATTGCTCTGATGGTTTTGAGTATCTCCTTGCGTTCATTTATTCCATTGAGTATGCTTTCGTTGGTTAGCGTCCTTCTCCAACACCACATTTCAAAGCTTTCTAGGATTCGTTGTTCTGCTTTATATTGTATCCAGGTTTCGCAGCCATATAGTGTCACACTGCATACATATACCTTTATGAAACGTTTCCTCATCCTAATACTCATGCTTATGGAGCATAAAAAATGTGTATTAATCATAAATACTGACTTCGCCTGGACGATTCTGGATCGTATTTCCATTCCAAGTCTGCCGGCTTGTTTGATTGAACTGCCTAAGTATTTAAAAATATACAGCTATCATTTTTTTTTATTGTTTTACCACGTTCATAGTTATGCGGTTTCCAATTTTACATTATTGTTTTATTATTCTACAAAATATAGCGCTTCAACCTCTGGATTACCCCCTCCGTGAAAACGTCATCGAAAAACTCGGCCAAAGAAATTCGTTTCGTTACCAGTCCATATTCTATTAGTTCATACTATTAACGCAGCGATTAAACGTTGTTTCAACTAAAGCGAATCTAACCGTTTTATTCAGCTATATACGTTTGGCGTCTATAATATAAAATTTCTTTATTAGTGTACCTACCTAGTACCTAGCTGTCTCGTGTTACAGTTTAGCGTACCGTATAGTATTAATAAAATAGAATGATATTTTACCAGAGCAGCAGCGGTAACGACCGTAAAATAATAATAATATCATATTATAATATCTCGAAGTTCGTATCCTTCAGTCGTATCTATATTATAATATGTAAGACGTAAGTACTAGTTACCATTAAAATATATTATATTTCGGTTGAAGGTTTTGTACAACACTGCAATCGGGTGTGATAATAATTTACGGTGAGTGCTGATTCAATGCGTTTTTTTTTTTTTGTAAAACATTTAAAATATTACAAACGAGCGCGGGTACATGAAATTATTAATAAAATATAATAGTTACAATGTTAAATATCGCGCCGAAGCCGGGGTAAAACTAATGGTAATCACTCGCGCGATTGTCGGCGGTGAAGGTTTCGCGGGTGTAAATTTAAAAAAAAAATAAAATAGGTAATTGAAAGTTCGTCCCCCGTCCACCGCTGCCGTGGCCGAGTATATTATCGCAATGATTTCCACAGCTCCCTCCCTCAGATTGCAGCGCCGGTAGTCACGCTCAATTTAACATCAATTAAACAGTCGCAGACATATTAAATATACATGTGTAAATGTATATAAATGTGGTAGAGAAAAAGAGCTGCGTGCGCAGATAGGGAAAACGCGCCCGTAGTAACACACGGTATAATAATAATAGTAATAATAATAATAAAAAGAAACGTTCAATAGAAGCCCTAACGAACCAGAGCACGGTGAAAAGGGGGTTTTTTTTCCGTCCACTGCGCTTTTTGCTTTTCTTTTGTTTTACTATTATACATTATATTATACATATACGTATAACCCATACGCGCGTATTTTATTACGCTGCCCGTGGCATAAGCGGTTTCGATGGAAGACAATAGGCTACGATATCCAATCGATAGCGCGCACACACTTTCGGCAGGATATCTACACTCGGAGTGAAAAAACCATACTGGCGACCTCTCGACCCTCGCCGTCTAGGAGCTCGCGTTTAAAGGATCGTTTTAACTTTTCACTTTATATATACGGGGTGTAGTATTGTTTCCCCTCCACGTCCCTCCACGTCAAGAAAGCAGTTCTTTTAACAACGATATTACTGATAAGACGTTTCCCGTACCTACATTATGTTGTGCCTATAAAGGAGTGCGGGTTCAGCAATTACAACTATACAATGAATAACAATGGGCCGTGGTGCACTCGTTCCTTAATACGAGTATTATATACCCTACAGGGTGATCGATAAAACCATAGCAATTCATTATCTCGGAATTTTCGTTTGGACAATATGAAAAATCAGCGCTAAGATGTTCTATTAACGTTATTTTTTGTCACCTTTGTTTTAGTGCGTGAAACCACTAGGTACACAATTTAGGTTTTCAAATGGTAACCAGTTTTAAAAA